CGTCGAATTTTTTATCTTTTTTTGAGACTTTGGACACAATTGGATGCGTTTAGAAATCTACAGAACCTCTTTGAGAAGCTCTGCAAAATTCTTTTTTTTCAGAGTGGAAAAAGCTAGAAATCCGGTGTAAGGGTCCGGCTGTCGGTACTGACAGGTTCCTGCGGGTGCTTGAGGATAGATGCAAAGGTTGATTTATAAATGAAACTCTAGTGTACTGATTCAAAAACCAAAGTTTACAGAATAAGTTTTGACAATATCCGAAAATTTCATCCGGGTTCCGTATTGCAGCGCATACTAGCTCTTAAAAAACTCTAACAATTCCTAACAAAGACGATTTAATACAGCATTCAGACAGCTCTTAATACGATATATCAAACAATGAACAGTATGGAGATCTTCTTTTTTTAAGAATAAGGCTATTTGTGAATAGGTTCAAAATTAATCTTAATATTTCATTGAATACAGGATCGGTAGAAAATAGCAAGACTGTGGCCGGAGGATACGGACTTGGAAGTACCAGCAGGGAACTCTGTTTCCCTTATGGTCTTGCTTTTGATGACGATCAAACAATGATCATCGCTGATTGGGGCAATCATCGCATTGTTCGATGGAAGATACGCGATACAAATGGTCAAGTATTAGCTGGTGGCAATGGTCAAGGAAATGAATTGAATCAATTGAATTGTCCAACCGATCTATTAATTGACAAAGAAACAAATAGTCTTATTATCTGTGACCACGGTAACCGACGAGTTGTGCAATGGTCTCGCGTTGATGGCACTACTGAGGGCAAAATCCTTCTCGATGACATCACATGCTGGGGGCTGGCCATGGATAATCAGAGATACCTTTATATTTCTGACATCGAAAAAAATGAAGTAATCCGATATCATATGGAAGACAATAATCGAATTATCGTCGCCGGTGGTCATGAAAGAGGTTTTGGTCTCGATCAACTCAATGGACCCACCTACATCTTTGTTGATCAACATCAAACTCTTTATGTATCAGATACATGGAATCATCGTGTGATGAAATGGGATAAAGATGCAACAGAAGGCTCTATCATCGTTCGAGGCTTTCCTCGAGGATTGTTCGTTGATGTTAAGGGAGACGTCTATGTCGCAGACTATGGAAGTCATCAACTTATTTGTTGGCCCAAAGGAGAGACAAAGGGCACTGTTATTGCAGGTGGAAATGCTGGAGGAGAAGAAGCAAATCAATTGTACTATCCTTGGGGTTTATCATCCGATCGACAAGGCAATCTTTATGTCGCCGATCATTCCAATCATCGAATACAACGCTTTCCTGTCAAACAAACTAATTAATTATTTTTTAATTTTTAATCTATTCCTAAAATCGATAAAAATCGATGAAAAACAAATCGCCACTTTCAGAAAAATGAATTTTATACTATTTGATTCGCGCTCGAAACTCATGTGCTTTGTTAACGTGCATAGCTGAGGGTGTGGGTGTGATAAGAACAGCAAACGTTTACCCATACTCACACCCTCCACCCTGATGCATGAGAGTGTGGTTAGAGTTGATTCGGCTCGATCAGCAATTATTTTCGGTACGGAATTCCGGGAATTTGAGTAGACAAAGAATTGCACGAAACTCCTACCGATTTCAAAATTCCGTGAATTCAGCTCAATACCGTAATCTCAAGGGGTTGTACGGAATTACTTGTAGTTCCTACGGATTGCGCGTGTGGGTGATTGGATGGGTGGGGTGTGTACTTAATAAGAAGGAGAAATATCTACCCATACCACACCCATCCTCACCCACACCCTAAAGATGACTGACTCACGCATGTGAATTACTGTAAGTTCTTCACTCGCTGTAATATTCTGTTTTTTTCTTTATGTGCCTTTCTCGACTTATTTGTAAAATAATCAAATCGTACATTGAAGTTTTGACTGTTCTTTCATCAACATATGATTGGTAGACAGTAGTAACAGAAATTGTTGAAGGTAATATTTAGTTGCTCGGCATTTTTATGGACAGAAATGAATGACAGGTTAGCATTCAGATTTATTCAATATTTATTTTCTGCAATACTAACCGTTGTAGTTGCAGGAACTGACATTCAAATCACAACACTATCGTTTTTACGATCTATTGAAATACATTCAGTCTATTCGTGTGGCTTGGTGTTTGTCTGTATAGATTTTTCGTAACCAACTATAAAATCATTTGTATTGACTTACTTATGTGTCGTTTTATTAATTAATTAAGAGTTACTGTAATCATGGATTAAATCTGTAACTTACAATCAAATTCGATGTATAGCTACTTCAGGCGCTTCGAGTAATTACTGTGTTTTAGTTAGTTAAATAAAAAAGTAAAGTAAATATACTGTTCCTATCTCTCTGTAGCTACCTTTTTTTTTCTTTCTTTAGTCATTTATTACAATACAATATACGAAGACGTCTGATAACAAAAAAATTCGAGTGTATTAATCTTTTTCTTTGTCTTTATTCACGCTAAAGGTAGGAGCTGAATGTTATCGCCGCACTATTAAATGATCGAGAACTACTAGATGAGTTTTTCACTATACATTTCAAAATTAAAAACCTGTTCAAACCGTCATTCTTTGTTCCCCTTTATTTTATTCATATTTTCCTTTGTACGATCTTATCCTTTTTTCACATAAACTTGTATTTATTTTGTTGTATCATATTTTCATTATTTGATATATAATACGCATATTATTAATCCATTGAACACTTCTAAAAATATCTTATAGACATTCTATTTCTTTTATAGGAATCTTAATTCTAACGTTTTAAAAATATGTTGACTACTTTTTCCTGTTGGTTTAATCGTGACGTGACTTTATCCGAAGTTGCCAGTTCATGTGGACGTGTGTTCCAATTGGATGACGTTGGAATAAACTTTTTCGATGCAATGCTAGAACATATACTTCATTTTGATGATTTTAATCGAAGACAAAATGAAACATTTCTCAATGATGTGGATTATATAACACAATGTACTATCGCTGATTTAACACTCAAAGAACAGTATGTTCGATCATCAAAACGATTAGATACCTATCTATATATTTATCGTCGAATTGAAGAATATATTAATCTAATAAATATAAATTACGAACCATTACAACAATTCAAACAACAATTATCGACTTTATTAGTCTCTACATTTGAACAAACGTCAGGTGAACAACCCAATCTTCTTTTAGAAAACAAAGATCTACTATTGAAAATAAATATTCTTCAACATCTATCATCGGTTACTACTATTGATGATTTAAATACATTAAATGAGTTTTTTGTCCTAAGTAAACTATCAATGCAAGCTGCACAGATGATTAATGACAATTCTCTTCAATGGATCGATATATTATCAAAAGTGAAGACAATTAAATTTACTTTAAACGGATTTATTCATGTCTATCTAAATAATCAGCAAGCATTTAGAAAATTTCCATTTGATACTTCAGTATTGATTTATCTTATGCAGCGAATGCATCTTTCAAAACAGATAAATCAATCACCCTTTAAAACTTTTGCTCAATTGAATAAACAATTGAATCTATCAATGATGGAATTTTTTGAACAATTTCAATCGATATTTAGTAATGGAATTAAAAATCAATGGTATGAAATGAAAGATATTGCTGAATTATTCATATGGCTTAAATCACAAGATCAATTATTTAGTCAATATTTTTCTCATTATTCCTCAAATGTGAGTACCGATGAACTATGGGAGATATTTTTATATTTATATAAAACTACTGAAATCAATAATATTATTGGGAAATATTTAATACCAACATTGAACGAAAGAATTTCATCAGTTTCTGTTAGTGATTTTCTACGATATACAAAATCAGCCAAGATTTCTTTAGTAGAAATTAAATCTGAAGGTCGTTCAAATTTTATTAGTTTATTTGAGAAAATCTTTGATAGTTACATTATTAAACAAATGAATGATCCTTTATATTCGTATCAAATCTCTCAAATCGATTGCAAAGAACTGTTACAAATCGGTCTGGAAATGTCGTCAACGAATCGTTTAGATAGATTTTCGTGTTTACTTCTTGTTCGTAAAATTATCTGTGAAACTGACAATTATTATCAAAAAACAAACGCAGAGAAACTCAAAATTCTATTTGAAAACTTGAAAAATTTTGATAAAACTTTATCTCAAAAATATGCTGCAGAGAAAATTATTGATGATGAATGGTTAAACGAGTTTCTCATCCCTAATATTCAAGTTTGGTTAAAATTCGATCAAAGAACTTATCAATATTTATGTGACAACCATCAGAATCATCCTTGGTCAATCTACATTTGGTCAAAAATCGTTCATTTAAGTCTTTCAAAAATGTTAACTAATAATCACATTGATATTCTTGTCAAAATGAATGATTGGATGAAAAATGTTAATCATGATATTTATAATAAAACGGATATTCTTACAATTATTCTAGTTGATAAATTATTTGAATTAGTAGTTTCAAAATATTCAAGATCAATTTTATTATTGCCAAATATTGATACAATTATGAATTTCATTATATCTATGCGTGATAACACATATGTTAAAATAAATATTAGTGAAATTAATAATTTTATCAATAATGGCAAAGAAATTGTTTATGATCTTCTTCGATTTAAGAGTAAGTTCATTTCAATGTGAAAATTGGATCTATTAAGGCTCTAGCGAAACGACGATTAGGATTTGTCCTTGCATTTCTAGACATCCGGCTAAATAGCTGGATGTTTGAAACATAAAAAGACTAAGTGTGCTTAGGCATGTACCGAGCCCGAGCCTCTGGGGCTCGGGTAGGCTCGGGGCTCGGTCAAGGCTCGGGTGTCAGATTGATGTAGGAGTGAGTTTCTGACACCTGATCCCGAACGACCCCGAGCCTACCGAGCCCGAGAGGCTCAGTCAAGGCTCGGGCTCGGTACATCCGTAATTGTGTTCCCCTACGCACATCCGTGTAGTTTTTATTTTGAAAACCCAGCACTCAAAAAAAAACAAGATAGAAAAGAAATTACCCCGACAATCACAAATGAATTGTTGTTACGTTTTTTTTACTTTTAGGTAAATGTTCATTATATCGTGACTTATTGACTACTGATTCGATCATTTATTGTTTTATTCCATTGATTGATTTGAATAATACACTTCGTACAATTGATCGTCAACAGTTTAAATTTCTATTGACAACGGCAGATGTTGATAATATTATTGATTTACCAAAGCCTAAAGATATTGATATCATAAACATTAAATCTAATGAAGAATTTGTTACTCGATTTATTCAAGAAATAAATGAATGGTTTAATTGGTTTGATCGATTCGTTGATATATTTCAACATATTATCGATTGGTTTAAAAATCATAATGTTAATCATGCAAATCAATTCTTAAGTGATTTATTAAGGATTCGTAATGATCCTAAAATGACGTTAAATGAAATGCGAATGATTATTGATTGTGTTTTAAAACTTTTACAACCAATTAAAGATCTTCGACGTCTTTGCCAATTATTCAATTGTCTAATTTCATTTCAAATTCTTAATCCTGGAACAGTGAATCCTCAAGATGCTCGATTAAAATTTCTCACAGAATTAAAACGTTCTCAACCAAACAATACATTTACAGTCGAAGCTCACAAAAGTTATAAACACATTATTTCTATATCTGATCGTCAACAAGTTCAATGGTCATTAACTTGTGACAATTCTCCATGTGATCTTACTATTGAATATAGATCAAATAATCATAAACACGAAATAATATATAATCAAAAAAATGTTCCTATTCATAAAAATGTTCTTTGTGGTCAATTTGAAACTCAACGTAATGGTCAATTGATAATAACAATTGATAATAAAAATAATCCAGCAGCTGAAACTATTTGGTATGGAATTGAATCGATTGGTTTATCGACATGTCATTTATTTCATGGTATATTTAATATGAATAATCGACAAACATCTGAAATGATTTCTGAAAATGAATTTAATAAATTACTTGATCTAACATTTGATTTTATAGATAAACTTCTTAATGGTAATTTAACATTACGAACAATGACAAAATTACGATCTATTTTCTATGATAAAAATATTAATATCAACAAAGAAGTTACAAAATTATATACAAATCATCCGAATAATGATAAACAAATTGATCAAGTCTGTCAATGGTTACAAATCTATCAATATTATACTCATCTCGATGTTATTATAGAATGTATTGAAAAATTTGATATTTTAGATAATGAAGATGCAACAATTTATCATTTAAAACGTTTGAATGCCGACGAAAATTGTTTATTAAGAGAAATAACTGAAATTTATAAAATTTTAAAAGAATGTTTTCAAAATTTAACTCATCAACATTTACAATTGATTAAAACAGTTGTTGAATGTTCGAATGTTATTGAAATGATGAAAAAATCTGATCTCTATTCAAATCATGGTCAACATCGTTTTCAACAATTACGCGATAATTTAACAACACAATTTCAATTACAAGAATTAAATAATATGATTTTAAATTCATGGATTATAACGTATACATTAATTGAACCATTTATATTGAAAACAAAAAGTTTTGATGAGTTTCTTTTGCGTCTTACTCAAATAACAAATTTAGAAGAAAGTTCATTGGATCATATCAAGGGTAAGTCGTTCGATCATAAAGCAGACTCATGATTCTGTGAAATTGAATAATATGAATGAAGTGATTGTATTCTTTAAAGCACGAAGAGCCAGTGACAGATCTAGGATTTTGGAAAGACGGGGGGCGATACCTGGAGAGGGGGAGGCGATTTTGGTTAAAAGCTATTTTTTGAGTCCAACCGGAGTAGTGTGAACCTATTTTTTCTGTAAAAAATCCAAAAAAAATTCGGAAGCGGGGCGATCGCCCCATTGCCCCCTCCCCCTAAATCCGCCACTGCGAAGAGCCACTACGGTTTACGATCATCTTCACTATCAAAATCTGCAAACCTGTGGACCTCCCGCTTCACTATAAGCAGATTTGAGACCTTTATCATTTTGTAGTGAAGATGATCATAGGATAAGGTTTTCTGGGTGATCATAAACCGTAGTGGCTCTAGATCAGTACCTTAACTCATATGATGTTACTGTTCAACTAAGGATTTGACTTTTATTGAGTCATCTCTTGTTTTACATATACGCTTTCTTTAGTTATTAATCATAATATACAAACTGTGACAATGTGGTTATCAACAGAAGAAACAACAGTATTAGATAACGCTCTAATTACTATGGAGCATTTGTATAAAAATGGAGTTGTTAATATTTATTTACAACGTTTAACAAGAAAATCATCGTATTATGAAATTGCTTATTCAGTTGATCGTATTCAAGTCGAGCAAGTTACAGAGAACGATAGAATTCAATTCCAGTTATCAATGTCAGATATTGATGATCATAAACGTCAGTTAACATTTTGTAATGTTGATGTTCAAACAAATTTAATTTATAAAAAAACTTTAATTAATGGGCAATTAAAACTATTTCAAATAATTGAAAATATCTATCATATATTGACTAAACTAGAATTAAGTGGTCATCCGGATTATCAATTACGCGATGAACATTATGGAATACATCTTGAACAAAGTGACAATACTATTCAACATCGAATTCAAAATTTAGAATCAATATATACAACATTAAGAATTGCATATGATATATGGATACAAAATTTGCAGAAGTATCGTCAAGAATATCCATTATTAAAATTATACTCTAATCGTGAAATAATGATTTTAATTATTCTACTTCGAACATCGAATTCTATTCGAAATCAGTTTCTAAAAGAATTATTTCAATATAAAGATTTATATAATCAAAATGAAGAAGAACAAAAATTAGCAATTCATTGCCTTGAACATTATCTTCGTTCATTAAGGATTCCACAAGTTAATTTAACGAAAGATAATCTTATTCAAATTTATTTAACACATCGTGTCGATACTGAATTAAATACAGATATGTCTTTAAAACGATTAACAGAATTTCTCCATGATTTATATCAACATGATGGAGAAATATTTCAAAAAGAAGGACAAGTCTGCAATGAAAATCAACAATTTCTTGTCGATATCAATCATTCAACATTATCTTTTTCAAATGATTTTGATTTAAATACTTGTTGTATTTTATTAAATATCTTTCAAAATCAATTACCAGCATCTTATCAAATTCTTTGGTGCTTAAATACAACAGAAGACGATATTCATTTATTTTTTTCTCGTATACGAATATTTCCATCTCTTATATTTGTTATTATGGATATTGATAAGATGCATCATCATCTACGAGAATTACTTTTAAACGAACAAGATTTATTAACACGTCGAAAAAATATACATGCACAAGTGTTTTATTTTTCACATGAACTAACAACAGCCAGAAAAGGTCTACGAGAATTTCAAATACCGGATAGATATAAAGACTCTAATCAAAGTTATTATCATTTAATGAATCTATTTCAAGAAAATCATATTCTACCATCTCAGATTCAAATTATTTATGGTAAAGCGGGTATTGGTAAGTTAATCCATCTCATTATCTCTTAATGAAACAGTAGGAGTGTGAGTAGAGATGTGCGGGACCGAGACCGGGATCAAAACTGGTCCCGCTCATCTCTAATATCGTTCTAGACACAGTTAATCCAAAATTATTCATTAAATTTCTAAAGCAATTTTTCAATACTTGTTTTCAAACCTCTTTAGTTGACGATTAGCACTTTTTGGTTTCATTTTTCTTGAATAAGATCAACATAGTAAAGGTCATTATACAGCCTCAGATTCAAGTGTTGATCCCGCACTAGAGCCCGTCGGGTCTGGGTCCGGATAGAAAGAAATATATTATCAACATAATATTTTTTGAATTTCTTTAAATTTTTATTCATTTCATTCAAAAACTCTTTAACTTATGGTATACTACTCGTTGAACATGAGAATAAGAAAAATAAAATTGTGTTTTCGGAGCAAGTATCAGATTTCAAGTAGAAAAATTTAGTGAGAGCTCGAAAAGTACAGTTCGAGTTCAGACTACTGCTCGTCGAAATCGGGTCTAAAAAAAACGTGGATCCGACGGGCTCTATCTCGCACATCTCTATCATACACACACTCGTCCTCTTAGATCCAATATCGAATTAGTAGATTTGTCTATTTTTTCGTTTAGGTAAAACTCATCTTGTCAAAAAGAAATATAAAACTGCTCATACATCATGTTTTAGTATTAATGATAAATTAAATTTATCATTATTAATTAATTCATTCCTCTTATTTGATGCAAATATGTTTAAAAACAATCCATCGATTATTTTCAATATATCTATTCATGCACCATTTGAATCTTTAAATCGAACATTATTTTCTCTTTTTATTTGTGGATGTTTAAATGATCCAACGAGTGGTTTAATATTTTCTTTACCCGATACTCAATCATGGAAATTTATTATTGAAGTGCCTTATTCAGATATTTATGGTTTAGATGTTAAAGAAAATTTCAAAGAAATTTTACCAATTCTTTCGATAATTTCTCCGTCAACATTAGAAGAAGTTACCGATGATAATTATCAATTATGTATCGAAAAAGAAGAAGAAGTTGTTGCACGATTTTTAAAAGCATTTGAAGATAAAACAATCGATCGTATAGTAATACCAGATCGTCATGGTCGTTGTACACCTATTAGTTTCAAAAAACTAACAAATGATGATGATTGTCGAAAATATATTTATAATTGTATTAGAAAATTTGCTCCAGAATTACCAAAAAATAAAGTCTATGAACTTTCATTTACAAAATTTTTATATCGTCGTGTACGTTTTTTCGAAGGATATTTCTATTGCTGGAATGAACATCTCGAACATTTAGGTTCAATAGCTATGCAACAAATGATCAATGAAGCAAAATCTTTAACACAGATCAATTTTCAAGATAATAATTATCCTCGTATTTATCTTACTTATGATCCAGGATTTTCTTTACGTTTATTATATACTAATTGGAATGATATTGCACCGGAATTACAAAGTCTTTTCAGCACTCGTGATCCATTGACCTGTGATGAATATAAAAATAAAAATTATTTTACCGAATGTTTATCATGGTTAATCGATATTAATTATAACACATTTATGAAAGTTGTTTATGAAACAAAATTTATTTTAACCGAAAATTTTACCTATAAAATTTTTCATGTCCATGAGAGAAAATTAACAAAATTACCATTAATTATTGAAGGTGATACGGGAGTTGGTAAAACTTTTCTATTAAAATTCTATTCATTATTATTAAATTCAAAGACTACGAATATTTCTTTTCAAGAAAATCTTAATCGAAAAATTATTGAAAATTCAAGTAAATTTCTTCTTGATATTATTGAAACAATCATTGAAAAATCTGCAAACATTCTCAATATATTTCTTCAACAGATCAAACCAATAATATCAGATCGAGGAAATTATAATAATAATGAATTTTCTGATCAACAACAACAAAATAATGAAGTTAATAGTGATGTTTCTTTAGAAGAAATAAAACTTTCATTAAAAAATAATCAATTAAAAAAGAATATTTTATATCATCTATGGAAAACAATTCTTAACAGTTCGAATGAAAATCCAACATTTTCAATAGGAAACTTAATAGAAAAATTAAATAATCATGTCACTAATGAATTAGGTCGTTATCCGTTAATTGAAGGTAGTTTTCGATTGAAAAATTTACTTAAAGAAATGCATAAACCCACAATTCATATGTCAATTGAAGTATTTAAAGAATATTTATTTCATAATCAAACAAAACCATTATTCTATCGTCTTCTTATTCATCCTGGTATTACTGAAGAACAAATAGTTGAATTTATCTCTCCGATTTGTCATCTAGCTCAAGAAGTATCAGAAATGGAACTTGTCGTTTTCTTTGATGAAGTAAATACAGCTTCATGTCTTGGTCTATTTAAAGAAATGTTCATGGATGGAACATTACATGGTACAAATATACCAAAAAATATTTTCTTTACAGCTGCTATTAATCCATTAATAAAAATCGAAGAAAATACAAATCAAGTTCATCGTAGTGATTATGTTGTCCATGATTTACCGCAATCATTAAAAGATTTAAAAGTTTCATATGGATCTTTACAATCGAATACATTAGCTGATTATATTCGACGAAAAATCGCCATGTTTCAAATCACATCAACAACAAAAGGTGATCAAATAAACACATTTGATTCTTATCTTCAAGATACATGTGCTGAATCACTAATAAAAGCACATGAATTTTGTGAGAAAAATCTAGGTAATATGCTTTATTTTTCTTGTTTTAAAATGTTGATATTCTCTCTATAGGACATAATTCTGTCTCACAACGAGAAATTCAACGATGTTTTAATTTAATCGATTTCTTTTTAAACATGCGATATGATGATGAACTTAAACATAATCCTAATCCAGTCCGTTCTATTGCTTTATCAATAGCATTAATTTATTATTTTCGTCTGCCAACAAAAGAAGATAATCATCAACGTAATGACAAAAAAACACCATCACGTGAACAATTAGCTGAAATTCTTTGTGAAACTATTCCAGATTTTGATCAAGTCATTGATGTTGAATTAAAAAAATTTGTTAATACAAATAATTTTGTTATTCCACAAGGAGTAGCAATCAATCAAGCTGTATGAATAATTATTTGATTTTTATTTGATATTTAAGATTTCTATGTTCAGGTTCGTGAACATATATTTTCAATTGTTGTTAGTATTGTTACACGAACACCTTTATGTATCATTGGTGTACCAGGTAAGACATTTATTCTAACGGGTGACCTATAGACAACGGCGTTCTTAATGTTTTGCCAATATTTCCTTTACTCAGTTTCCGGCTTGGTTTTAGAAGATTTTTCATTCAAGTCTCTACAAACATATATCAATAGAGTTTGTACAGAATATAACCGTGAAACCCTATATGGCAAACACTGCTCCTCGTAGCACTCGAAACCAGTCATCTGTACTAGATCATGAGATTTTAGAAACAGTTTCCTTTTGAAAATGACTTCGAATAATTGGACGTTTTGATTCAACCAAATGAAAGTTAGGAATAAATTCTACAGGAGGTTCAATAAACTTAAACGTAAGAAAAGAAGAGAAGGATTCTGTTCGTGCATGTTTCAAAGTCAAATCTATTCAAGAGCTACAAAATAGCATCTTCAATCTTTCTGTGATCTAGTAATTTAGCGATGTGAAATTCGAAAATTGATAAAAAATATTTTGAAAGCAAGTATTTTTGGGATCAAAGCCGTACTTACCTTATAGGGTTTTGTAGAGAATTGAATGAACAATCTTTTAAAACTAAAGGTGATATATTGGCAAAAGACTAAGATCGCTATTCTTTATTGGCCATCCGTTAATATATAATTCGAATGATTTTATTACTATGAAAGGTCAATCCAAAACATTATCTTTTCAAATTGTTCTTCAAAATCTCCAAGGTTCGCAGTTATCATTAAAACCATTTTGTAAACGTCTTCCGTCTATTGATCCATTTTTTTGTCTCGGATCAAAATATACTTCTTCAGAAGATATTGCTTTTGTTTTTGATCGTGCAATTAAACGTGAACAACAATATGAACAAAATGGAATTAATACACGATGTGTGAGTAGACAAAAAACAAAAAAATTATTTTAATCTATTTAAATTTTATTTAGACCGTTTTCTTAGATGAAGCATCATTACCAGATGAAAAGAAAATGATTTTAAAAGTTTTACATCCTTACTTAGATGAATGTAAAGTTGCATTTGTTGCAGTTGCTAATAAAGCATTTGATGCTGCGAATGCGAATCGAATGATTTGTATTTATCGTTCGTTACCATCGGAGGATGATCAAAAAATTTTAGCTTATGGTTGTTTAGGCTTGCAATTAGAAGAACGAGAATCGTTTCATAATAATCATCTTAATAAGATTATTTATGGTTTATGTCAAGGTTATCGACGAGTTCTTCGTTCACCTGATATTCCTCATATATTTCATGATCGTGATTTTATTTATATGTTAAGAGAATTACGATTTGAATTGATGAATTTAAATGATATAACACCACAAAGCTTATTACGAGCATTGGAAGATAATTTTAATGGAATTCGTGTGCACGAATTTGATAAATTAATTGAAATATTTGGTACAGCTGTTGCAGAACAATGTCCTGATTTTGAATTATTAATCACTGAGAAAGAAAAATTTCAACGTAATATTCCAACGATTTTACGTCATTCAATGCAATTAGATCCAATACGGCGTCGTCTTTATGGTCGATATAAATTAATTATTGATGAATCTGAAGATGAAAATGCTGTTCGTCTTTTATTTCAACTTGGAATTCTCGATTCCGATCCAAATCAAACAACAATTTTTCGTATGTCCGATTTTCCGAGTGATATCGATAATGAATTACGAAATGTTGAAATACTATCGAATATAAAATTATGTATGGAAACAGGTAAAACTGTTTTAATGGTTAATACAGGTCGTATTCATGGTTCACTTTATGATGTTTTTAATCAGAATTTTTCGATTATGGCAACGGATGAAAGTCGAAAAATCTTTTCGAAAGTCGCCATCGGTCCAAAAACAATTGATGTTGTTGTACACGAAGATTTTCAATGTATTGTTCATATAAAACGAAGTCAATTTAAAGATATTCCTCCACCATTTTTAAGTCGATTTCAGAAATATTATTTTAACATCGCAGATTTTTATTCGATTCAATTAAAAGAAATTTCTGTAGAAGATAGAAGTTTAATGAAAGAAATTGAAATAAAAGCACGATCATTTATTGATCATTTTGGGAGAGAATATTTCTATGGATTGAATGATGATACATTATATTCCTATCTCTTATCATTTATTAAAAGAAATATGCAAGGTGAATATTATCTATCAAATATTCAGGAAAATTATAATCAATTAACAATTCAATCGAAATTATTTATCGAACAAAATATAAATGATAAAAAACAATCCTTACTTTTTTCTATTATTTCAAAAATTTTACAATTAGTTTCACCTGAATCGATTATTTTTAAATTACCAACATTTGAAGAAAATATAAGTCGATTATTATGTCAAAATTATTTTTATCAACAAGAACATTTTAATTTTGAAAATTTTCTTTATCGATTTATTTCTTCTCCAACATTAGCAAATGATAATAACGAATTATTAACAATATATGATAATATTGAACAGAATATCAATAAGATTAATATTACAAGAAAATTAATAATGTTTACTCGGACATCATCATTTGTTATTAGTTTAAATAGAGAATCAAAAAGTGATTGGTTTCATAAAAATGATGAGAATTATATAATGATGAATATTAGCGAAAAACTTGATATTATTAATTTGGTAAGTTGAGGGTGTGGGTGTGGGTGACGGTATGGGTGGGGTGTCGGTGTTAGTGTACATGACGAAGAAACTAACACATCCAAACCCACACCTACACTCTCACTCACACTCTCAAATATTCTTTTTTTTTCAGGGATTGATTGAAAACTCGAGTGAATTAAATGAACAATTTGAAAACTTTGAAAAAGACAATCAAAAAACGATTCTTATTATTGTTATTGATGGTCGTATAAGTCATCAACGTATACATATTCCATTTATTCGACACTTAATAGGTAAAACATCTGGGAATCTATCGAAGTTTTTCATCATTCTAATACATTCATCTGGACAAGAACTTAATTATAAATCATGTTTTCCTTCAATATTTTCACATGATTGGGATTATTGGTTTCTTGATACTTCAACACCGGGTAGTGCAGTTCATTTACAAAAAATGTTACAAATCTTCACATCAAAAATTGGAATAACTGATCAAAAAGAAATATTAGATAACCCTCTTTATGATTTAAACATACTTTTTGATGATTGTGTATGGGATTTTTGTTCACGTTTACAAATCAATTTTCATAAATTATCCAAAGATATGTTTAATAATCAAAATGCTTATGAATTTTATCAACGGCAAACAACAACGTATCAACGTGTTCGATGTTTAAAAAATATTTTTGAACAATTAAACGAATTACAAAAATATATCATAACAATTTATCACGAAAATATTTCAATGAAAGAAGAATCTTTACAAAAGAATTGTAATTCAATATATGATCTTGCTAAAGATACTTTAACTGGAAAACATTTTAATAGTCTTGCCGATTCTTTAAAATCACATATAAGAATATCATTTACAAATTTTGTTTCCTATGTTTTGAAATATATTGTCGATGATTATGGTTTAGAATCATTAAGTAAATTATCAAGTAAAGATAATGATTACAGTAAATTACTTGAATTAATTGATTATACATCATTTTCTGTTAATAATGAAAATTCAATGATGCAACGAATGTTAATAGTCAATGATCATTATTCTTGTATTCTTCATACACCGTTATATTATTTATGTGAACAATCTATTAAGAATTTAGCAGATGATGTTAAATATAAATTGGCAAATCTACAAAATCAATTCAATGGTTAGTATTCTTTGTTAAATCTAAGATTAGATAGAGATCTTGAGGTTGTGCGTGGGTGTGGATGTAAGTGTCGGTTAAAAGAAGATAGACACCCAAACCCACCCCTCAAGATGCGGGATATTCTCCTTCTTTTCTTCAAATGAGTTTTGAGTAATTTTTTGTTGATATTTAGAAAGAGGTGTACCATCCGCATCGACAATACGAGAACAATTTCGCAATGAATTAGTTCGATCTATGATGAATGATAAAATTTTAACGAAAATAGTTTCATCATCAATTCTTGACTCATATACAAATGATTCTATTCGAATTCTTTGTACAATAATTGAAAAAAATTTTCATGATAAACAAATTCAATGTCAAAAGACAATTGATTTTGTTTCTCGTTGGTTAATATTAATTGATGATGATGATGATGAAGAGAATGCATTTAATTCTTCATCGAATCGTCATATTTGGCGATTTGCAAATGTTTATGCATTACTTGAGTACGAACAAAATGATATTTTGTCATTCTATTCTGCTTGTCGAATTACAGAAAATCTTGATCGAAATCAATCATTCTATGATAAACTTTTATCCGTCGAAGAAATTTCACGTTCAAAAGTTCGCGAGAATCTATTTCGATTAATGTTTAAGCATTTATGGATTAATTTATGTCAAATAAATGAAGATCCTAAACAATGGATTCATAGTTATACATTAATTTCAAAATATCATCCGTCCGAACAAGTTTTAGGACGAATAGAATTTATTGATATGAAAGTTAAGGTTGAATTTATGAATTTAGCTTATTTAATATTCCTAAATGAACAAACACCACAACCAATTAAACTTATCCAACAATTATTGTACGATACATCACTTATACACGATGATCATTTTATGAATTTCTCTGGATCAAATTGTCTAAAATATTTACCTTTGATTGTTCAAAGAATAGATCAATATTTTAAAGAAAATAATAGTACATTAATGATGGATATTCAACAATGGATTATTGAAATAATAAAAAAATCAAAAAGAACATCAGATCAAGAAATTATTTGTTTATTAAAGCTTATAAATCAACCATCATGTCATTTATTATTACCAATGAAACAATTTATTTTTGATGAATTAGCTAATATTCTACTTGACAACAATCAACAAAATACTGATTTTTGGGATCGTATTTCACTCCTATCAATAATAATAGAATGTATCGATAATGACAATTTAGAAAATTATCAATTACCTTACCATCCATCAGCGATGACTGATGAAAATGCGAATCATATGATAGTCGATCTATTTTTTTTCTATCTTCGACGATTAGCAAATAATGCAATAATTCAACCAGCTTTAATCAATAAAATTCTTCTTTCAAGATTACCAAAGATTAATAATGCACAACGAATTCCAATTGCAGAAAAAATATTCAATCAATTAAAAGAATTTTTTATTTTACAAACTACGGCTTTATTATTATGTCAAACAAATTTAGATCAACACGATCAACAAGCAATTAATCATATTCTTACGACTGTTATTAATCAATATTTAAGAATTGAAGTACCTGTTATTCAATTAAGTAATTACGTTCAATTTTTCTGTTCAATTATAATTACTAAACAATCATGGAGTTTTTTTCTTAATCTACTCAAATCCGAACGCCTTCAATATTTAAATGTTCAATGGGCGGATACATTACATAATCAATTCACATTAGAATACAATACTCAACGTAATAGATATCTACACTATTCTCATCAACTACAATTTACAATAACAACGGATCAAACTTCATCGATTTTTCCAACCTTACATCAACCATACCATACACTAACTCAATTAATTGATCAATGTGTTAAAAATAATAGTATCGAACAACGTTGGATACCTTTAGTTAATTGGATAGAATCAACATTAACTATTAATGTTATTGAAATAAAAGTAATGATATTATTAATTATTTATTATGATTATTATTGTAATAATCAATTAGAATCTATTCAAGACTTAATAGTTAATATTGAGCATACACTTGAACTATCTGATGAAGAACGACGAGTATTCAATGTTTTTTTACAACCTGAACAATATATGATTGGATATCCAGAAGAGAATAACGATCAGGATAAAAATTATCTTAATGATTTATTTAAAATTGATTATCAAGATGAACAACAACTACCTATTCGTCATACACTTGTTAATCTTTTAGCAATGATTTTACTCAGTGGACAAGAAAATACTCTATGGACATTTGCATTTCAACCATTGAAACTTGAAAACACATACGGTGAGTTTTCAAAGATATTGGCATTTTTGTAGAATATCTTCTGTATAGGTTTTGCATCGACTGCAACTAACCCTATCCAAAGTACTTTGATTCATTATGATTGTGGATGTGTGTTATCTGAAAGAGGAGCATTACTTCAGAAGTATGGCGGAAATGCATTCAGTATTCCAGCAGTTTATATTGCATATTTTGCAACATTTGGTGCTTTGGTAAGTCGAATGAGAACAATAATCTTCATATCTTTATTCAATATCTAGGCTTGGCATTTGTTATTATTTGATTCATCTGTGGAAAATCTCAATGGACCTATTCTTTCTGGAAGTGCAATTAATGAAACAGCAGCTAGAGAACGTATAGATGATAGAAGTGATCGAGCAAAAACATGTTTTTTTGTTTGTACACGATTGTTATCAACGAATTTTTTTCTTTTATTACAATCCAATCAAGATGATGCTTGTCTTTTGTTTAATCGTTGTTTTGAATTGTTTGCTCAACAGAGTCATCAACCCGATGAAAATCCATGGATTCAACCAATTTATACGACAATCAATGAAGAACGTGAAGCTGAAAAAGAATTTCAACAGAATATTTTCTATCCTACATATCAAAAACTAAACGATTATAAACAAATCATTAATATTTTACAATCAAAAACTGAAGTACAGACAAAATTACAGAATTATATAACTCAAATGCCTATTCGAATTGAAATTATTCATTTTAAAACTGAATTATCTAATCCAGAATCAATTAAATTACCATTAAAAATTCTACGACAATTATTTGATTCATTTGAATTTCTAAAAATGACTCGACTTATTTATCCATTGAGTCAATTTCATATTCTCTTACATCGAACTTTTGCTCAACTAATCGAACGAGAAGAATTTCTGAATATTTCATTGGATGAATTATACAAACGAGCTTGTCAATCTTCAAATCGTTTGCATCAACAAAATAAATATAGAACAATTATTGAAAACGGAATTGAAGCTGTTAATACTTATCATCAATTTGCTGATGGACAAATTCGACCAGGCGCTTGTGATCTTACTCAACGTTTTGAAACCATTTCTATGAATACACATGTTAGCTATCTTGTTGAAACAGACAATCATGAAGATGGAAATATTATTATGCGTATACTAAGGTAAGTATTAATGAATACTTGATAATCTCTATATATTTCAATTTAGTATTCTTGTCGATTATCATAATAATCTTGTTAAATTACTTGAAACAGAAATATACTCACATGGTGATACTCTTGAATTAGGTTCATTAAAACCTATTATTAATGAATTATCCGAGAGAGAAATATCTATTCTTCAAATAACAGAAGAAAATCACGGTGTTATTACATTGAATGATGTAGATTGTCAATGGATTGAACAATTATCTCGATCTAGTCTTGAAAATGATAAAGATTATTTTCTAAAACTTAATACACCATTAAAATTTAATTTCCTCTATGTACAATCTTATCTTATTCGAAAATATCTTCTCTATTGTCATATTAATTACGAACATATCAAAGAAAAATATCAATGTTATATTAAACGAAAAATTCCAATGACTACAAATAATTTCAATGATGATGAAAATGATATTAATATGGATTATTATAGTTCAATAGCTGATGAATGGAATCATTTAGAGCATAAAACTTTCGATCAACTTCAAAATGAATTTAATTTTCTTCAGCGAATTATTGACGAATTGAAAGATTCTCTTGAGGATTATTCGTCCATGAAACTTTCAGAATTTATTCAAAATACAAATTATGGTCAAAAAATCAAAGATTTTCCTTTATCGCAAATAAAATATATTCGGCAATTTTATCAAAAATCGATCTATAATTTTCAACATGCATTTATCAATGTATCTCATTTAATTAATGTTCCTCTAGATAAACAATTTAGCGATGAACTTGATCATATATTAAAATCGTCATTTATTTCTTCGAATGATCCAACTAAGAAAGAAGAATTTCAAGCAAAGATACGAATGATAACTGAATTTTTAAATGATTTGAAAGAAATAGAAGATTCTCTCGCTCGTCAATGGACTGACTCACTTGTAGAAACATGTGGAATATTCTGCATTGAAAATCCTATTGTTGAATTACTACCGACAGAAATTAAATGTAAAAATTATATTCCATTATGTTTGAAATTGATTAAAATACGATCTCAATTGCAAGAACAAATGATTGATATTGAAGAAAAAAGTATTGATCTCTGGAATGCTCATTTTGATATTCAAGATATAAATCAATCAAATGAAAATAGCTTTCAAGTATTTCGATATAAGGACGATAGTTTATTATCTTTTAATACAAATCAAAGTTCGACAATAGAAACTACATCTGCAGATTTAATCGATTGGTGGGAGATAATTGATATTCCATCGAAGTCACAAGTAGTCGATAATAGAACATCTCTATTCACATTAAAGATAACATCGATTTCATTATCACCTTCAGTTTTGTTTGAAAACTGTCGAATACAAGCGGAACAATGGGGATCGAAAATACCCAATTCAAGGTTAGTTGTTACATTGAAAGATGGTAAACAAGCAAAATATTTCTGTAAACCTGAAAAATTCTATGAGAAACTTAAAAAAATCTTTGAAGAGAAAAAGTACGATTATAATACAACTGCTGTTATTGATTCAAATCAATTATTTGTTGATTTTATGAAGGTAAATGATAACAATTCATTACCTATTATAGTATCTGAATACTATGTTGTGGAAAGACAATTATTAATTCCTGTTCTATTAGAATATAAAAATAATCAATTTAAATATTTCGCTAAAGCTACAGCAACACTTTCTTCAATTCTGAATCGTTTTATTCTTGATCAACAATGGAAATTTACGTCACCACAAAATTATTTCAATGTATTTGATTCACTCGGACGATATATTTCTGAAGATAGTCCAATTAATAAAATTGATCGATATAATGAACAAAGTCCAGTTCACCTTCAAATTCTTCAATGTAATCAAGATGAGAAGAATGTTTGTGAAGTATCACTTACAACAAGTCAGTACTTTAATCAAGCTACAACTTGGAAACAAATTGATACATGGTCGAAAACTCTTCATATCAATGCAGAAAGTACTACTGATCGTTACAATTTCTGGAATATAGAACAACAATATATTATTCATGAAAATGAAACACTATCTTTCACACTTGGTGAAGCTGAATCTATCAATGTTGATGCAATTAATGAAGAAAATATGATCGATATAATTCTTTCCTATGATCAGATTAATAAAACAATTCGACTTCTTAAATCATGTATAGTTCATAGTCTTCTAAATAATTCAAAATATTTCAAACAATTAGATCTAAAGATATCTCCAGAAGATTGTACTCTGATTTTTGTTTCGAATGAATCAGAAAAACAAATTTTGGAAAAAAAAGATATGAAAAATCCAATTAGTTATTATGCATCGATGACTGATAGTCTGGTTCATTTTCAGATATCTTTACTTATTCAAATAATTCAATATGATAATCAAAAAGAAATCTCAATTCCTGTTTCACACCGAAATATAACCTTAAAACAATTATTAGAAATGATTGAAATTAATGATTCTCATACATATTTAGCATCGTATGAAACTAAAATGGTCTTATCTGAATCATCTACAATCAATGAAACAAAATTTTTTCTTGTGAAAGAACATCAAACATGTCTTATAACAATTGAAGAAAATATGACTAAAAATCAACGATATATTATCAATGCTTCTATCAATGATATTTACAAACGAAATAAAAATATCGATCAAGATCAATATCTTATCTATGAGCATGATTTTATACCATCACGTGAAACATTATTGAGCTTATTTCTATGTACTGTAAATTCACCCATCAAATTCAATTTAACTTATCAAAAATTACAAGCAAATGTGACAGTAACTAACAATGAAGAAAAAAGTTCAATTGTATTTCAATGTGCACCATCAACGACAGTTGGTCGTGTTCATCAAATTGTTTGTCAATTGTGGAAATTAAATACACGATTTTATCGTTTAAGTCTCTCTGATGATACGAATATTGACGAGGAATGTTTATTAGACGATATTTGTGAATATATGAATGATACACAATTGAAATTAATTTCAATTGCTGATGTTAAATGTGCCATTACCTATCAGAATGAAATTGTCATGATTCCAGCTCTAAATGAAACAATTCTATCATCGATTATGAAAGATACCTTAAGAAAACTTGTAATACCATTTGATGATATAGATCGATTTGAATTTATATTATTGGATGATCTGAAAAATCCCATCAATGTCGATCTTGATTTAATCATCAATGATATTCGCTCGAATTCTTCCACGCAATTCGATACAATATCGCTTCTCTTAAAAAAGAACACAGAAATCGAAGATTAATAATAATAACCATTTGACTTTCTCGGCTTTTTTTTACAAATAAGAATTAATTAAGCTATAAAACCAACTTGTTGCTACTTTTCTTTATCCTGAAAGAGTTTCTTTTTCTATAAAGTCGATACAAATATGGCTTGTCGGTGGCGTGAAATTTTGGTCTACAAAGATTTATATTCATCAACTTTGGTATTGGCTATATGTATAATTAACTTCTGAAATACTCAGGCCAATGATTTTCACATGCAGATCATGTAGGAATCTAAAGGAAACTATGTCTGTTCGTGTGATCTGATAGGGTGTGGGTGTGGGTGTAGATTTAGGTATAGGTATGGGTATTGGTGCGGGTAAGACTTGTTCTGATCTCATACAACCGCATTCATACACACCCAATAATGTGTGGCTGATTATTCATCGTAGTAGTTCCTTCTTTTCTCTCTCACTTTTATTTGAGAAAGAAAAACAAACTTGGAAAAAAATATTTTTTCTTTCTTTTCTGTTCTGCGAATCTGGTTATCTAAACAAGAATACTATGATGACTTTCTTCACTAGGAATTTTCCAAATGACGCTATTTTTCTTTCTTCTATGAGAATAACGGATGACCGATAATAAATGGCTAAATTTTGTCTTGCATACTTTAATCTGTAAATACGTTTTATCTAAAAACAAAATATACCACAATACCTTAAGGGTGTGGGTGACTCTGTCAACCCAACCCACAGCCACACCCACACCGTCAAGATTAGTCGCCAATCATCGTTCGTCTTGATTTTTACATGTTAAAAGTGTGAGTGTGTATGTTCGTGCCTATAATCGCTTAGCCCATACGCACACTCACTCACTCACTCACTCACACCTACACACACCCACACCCATACCCTCAAGATGCTTGTTTTGGTAAAAAGTAGTTTATTCAAAAGAAATAAGATTGCAGGTTCGAGATTATTTTATTTTCAGAAGTGAAGAATTTGGATGTGACTATGAGTGTAAGTGAGATCTACACCCTAGTTAAGAAGATCGTCTAGATGTTTCTCCATGTCATAAGCGTTGATTTCATCCATGGTTAATATTGTTGTTGCACTCTGTTGGTTATCATGATTTCTTTGTGAATTCCAGTCAATTCTTTCATTAAAGTTTTCTGGCACACGCGAACTGGCCTCTTGAACTCGTGTTGCTCTTGTTTTTCTTAACAATTCATATATCTTTAAGCCATGCTCGACCGTGAATATTTTATTGCCCCAATATTTAGGCGAAAATATAATACCTATTGCAGCCGCATCTTCAATCGCCATACATGCGCCCTGGCTTTGATTAGGTAGCATTGGATGTGCAGCATCTCCAAGCAATGCTACACAGCCTTTTACCCAATATGGATATGGTTCATGAATAAACAGCTTCCACAATTTGATATCTTCACAATGCTCGAAAATTGCCAATAAATCTGAATCAAGATTAGGAAAACACTCAAGTAACATTGACGGTGTGGCACTGAAATTCCAGTCCTCTCCACTTTGATGATTATAAGAAGCTGGATAAAAGCAATAGAATGATATAATCTCACCTGCACAGCAAGGGACTAAAACAATCTTATTAAGACCAAAATCACCCCAAAATTCAATTGCATTATCAGATGCAAAATCTTTCAAGCCAAGCTGCTTTACGCGTGATGTGGGAATAATACAATGGTAACAATCACTTGTATACGGTGCTGTTTTTGCTACAATACCAATCAAACTACGTACTGTTGAACGAATGCCATCAGCACCAATAATCAAATCGACAGATATTGTGCTACCTGTATCGAATGTTACAGTACGATTAACACAATCAACATCAATTGCTTTATGATCTATAACAATCATTACTCCTAAAGCCTTAGCTTTTATATGTAGTTGTTCATGCAGATCAGTTCGATGAAACGTATTGTATACATAACCCCACTTTTCTTTATAATCACTCAAATTATAAACATCGTTGATTGTACCATCTGTCCAATTGCGCATAATTAGTTTTTGTAGAATGACAGATCTAGAAGGAAAATTTACATGATAGATTTTTGTTATCATAATACTACTAACCTTCCAGCAACAGTGTTGATACCCCATTCTTCGAGAAATTTGGTTCCATTTGCGGCAACAGAAACTGATGCACCGACTTCACTAGCAAAATGTGCGTGTTCATAGATAGTGACTTCATGGCCATGTCTGCGCAAAGCAATAGCGGCGGATAGACCACCAATACCACAACCAATAATAGCCACTCTCAAAGGTACAAATGGAGTGAGTGGAGTTGATTCTATTGAGGGTAAAGTAATCTACATAACAAACGAATTAATTAAGGATGAGTATGTAAATCAATTAAATTTTACCTTATTTGAAATAGCTAACAATGATTCGATCGTTCGTGCAAGTTTTTGAATCGATGGATTAGCAAATAAGTGAGATCCATTGATTATAGGGCAAATATCTTTTTGAATGAGAGAGAGCATTCGTAAAACATCTAATGATGTTCCACCCATCTCACTAAAGGGTTGGGTTACATCCGGAGATTCACAACCAAGTACTTGACTAAATATGTGACTTAGACGTGCTTCTAGTTGTAATAATAATGAAGAATCAGTCTTAATCAAAGTCGACAGATGAGATTTTCGAAGCAAGTCTTGATCTACTGTTCCATTATCATTTCTAGGTAATTTTGCAAGTATAATAAACATCGATGGAATCATATGAAAAGGTAAATGAGATTGACAATATTCAAATAGTTCTTTTTCTGTCATATCACAACTTTCGACATAAGCAATTAAACGATCATCATCCCATTTCATAACAACACATGCTGATATTGATGTATTGAGTAAACATTGTTCAATTTCACCAAGTTCAATACGTTGTCCATGCAATTTGATTTGATAATCTATAAATACATTTTATTTTTAATCAAAAAGTATTATATTCGTACAAATAAAGTCGACACGGGGGTTCCGAATCTTTGTCAATAAGACTTTCTGACCTCGTTACATCAATATTGTTTTGTGACAATTACCAAAAATCTTATTTATCAACTTCCAGAACCCCGTAATCATTATTCAAATAATTTAACATACCTTTGTTATTAATGTCTGATAAATGATGAAATGTTACGTTTTGCATTAGTTCAACTTCATCTGGTAGAACAAGAGATAGTTTATCAATCTGATCAACTCTTGACTTTGATGTGAATATCTGAGAAAATACAGCTTGAAGTTTTCGACCTATTTTGTTAACTGTCGTTTCATCAAATAAATCACGCGAGCCATAAACACGACATAATAATTTGTCAGTTTCATCTGTCCGATTGTATACAAACATCACATCTACATCAGAGAATGTTGCTTCATCTAATTGCTCAAAGAATACTTCTTCCAAGTTTGATCCATCCAAAGAGAATTTATTGATATTAGGAGATACAGTAATAAATTCAAATAAAATATCAAGAAAAGAAACATTTGAATAGTTACGTCGAAAATCAGCAAGAATATGTTGCAATGGATAATGAGTATGTTGAAAAATTGATAAACAATTTGCTTGAACATGTTTAACAAGACTTTCAAACGGCCATTGCGAATTAATCTGGATTCGAAATGGTAATGTTGCAACAAAAATTCCGATTGCATTTTGTAATTCAGTTCTATATCGACTGGCATGTAACCCACTAAAGCATAAATCATCTTGTCCATCAGTTAATTTATATAGAAATGCATAAAATATACTCATTGCTAATTGAAAAGGTGTTATATGATGCAAAGTAATATACTCCAAAAATGCTGTCGAAATATCATCATCGAAACATATCTCAGTGACAAAATGTAAACCTGATCGATAATCGGTGGACAAACAATATCGATCAACAGGTAATGATAATGAACGTGTAAAGTTATAATCCTTCAATTGAGAATACCAAAAGTCATGCGGTTGTGTCATATCCATTAAACGTTCATACACGGTACTATCGATATATTGAATGGCATTTTCATCAACATGTAACATACAATCATTTGTATAAGCAAAAGAAAGATCGTTAAGAAAAGTTGATACTGATGCTCCATCGAATACTATATGATGAATTAAGAATATGATTAAATCACCCATAACCAACGTATCCCCATTATAAGATAAATTGCTGAAGTCATGACGATGAACAATATGACAACTCAGAACACGTCCTTTTGATAAATCAAATAAGTCAGAACGGTTCATTATTTTTTTGATTACTTCATCAATTTCAACATGGCTGTTAATATTGACTACCGAAAAACCATATGGTTCTTGATCCTTGATCGTAGCATTAATATCAAGGCAATGTTGTATGATCTTACCATTTATATCGAGATAAAATCCTGTACGTAAAACACGATGTTTTGCGACCACTGTGTGTAGTGCTCGACGCAATCGATTAATCGATAAATGATTGTTAGTCGACGCAATACGATAAACTAATGGAATAACATACATGAAATTGTGATGTTTAGATGGAAAACGAATTTGTTCATCCAGAAAGATTCGTTCTTGAGCAAATGATGCACGAGCTACAATGAAAAAAGAAAGATAAATATGTAGTTGATGATAATATCTAGTGGAAGTTGTTTTGCTCACCTTGAGTGAGATGTAATGAAGACCAAGGATAATCATCCAGAGTATGAATACTATTGATAGATTGCTGAATGAGTTGAGCATGATGAATAATTGTTGGTTGTTGAAATAGATCAGATATCGAGAAACTACTTTGCTTTTGTTCTAAATGAAATTCAATCTTATATTGGTGAAAAAGTTGCATGATAAGTAGTGAATGACCACCAATAGCAAATATATTTGTATCAGTTGAGATTTGATTTTGTTTGAGTATCTCACACCAAATACGATGAATACTAACTTCAATATCATTTGTTGGGTGTAATAGTTCTATAGTATTTGTAAGATGTGTTGATGAGAAGTGAGGTGGCGGAAGTTGTTTTCGATCTATTTTTCCATTTGGATTCAATGGTAATTTGTCAAGTATAATGAATATTGATGGTATCATATGTGGTGGAAGATGAGATTGACAATGTTGCCGTAGTTGTTCCTCGTTGATATAAGAAGATTGAACATAAGCAACTAAATAATCATCATTCCATTTCATGACAACACAAGCAGAAATAGATGTAATGCTAAGTAAACATCGTTCGATTTCACCAAGTTCAATTCGTTGTCCATGTAATTTGATTTGATAATCTTTTCTTCCTTGATAATGAAGAAGACCATTGTTATCCATTCTCACAAGATCACCTGTTCGATAAAACAGTTGGCTATCTATTTCAATAAGGGCATTTGCAGTCAAATCATCACGTCCAAGATAACCAGCAAAGACACCTACTCCTCCTACAAACAATTCTCCTTCCTGATTGGTAACAGACGATTGTAAATATTGATTCATAATTATACATCGGTAATTACATAGGGGTGTACCAATTGAAATATTCTGTGTATCATTTTTGACGTTCACATTATAAACTGTACAATCTATGGTTGTCTCAGCTGGACCATATAAATTCCATACAATACAGTTTGTTATATCGATTTTGATAATCAAATCAATTAAAGGAACAGAAAATGGTTCACCTACAACAATAAACATACGCTAGATAAGCAAACAAAATCACTTCGAAAGTCACTTACCACTGCTGCAAAGTGATCGAAGATGTTTCAGGACATTCTGATTGTTACTTTGCTCGACAGAAGTAAAAAAAACTATGCAATAAACTTGGAACAGTATGTAGATATGTGATTTGTTTGTTCTTTAAGACTTCGGATAAATAATCGAAATCAATCGTTCCACCTGGATGAAGCATAATCAATGTGCCTCCAGCTAACAATATACCAAGTATTTCTTGAACATGAATGTCAAATGAACATCGTGTCATTTGTACAACTGTATCATCTTTATTAAATGAGTTAATATAAGCCAAAGAATGCATACAATCAATAAAGTTCTTATGTCGAACTTGAACCTATGAAAAAACATAAAAATTAATCAGAAATTAGCAAATTAAGTGAAAACGAACCGCTTTGGGTGTTCCAGTTGAACCACTAGTGAAAATAATGTATGCTATCTCTTTGCCTTTCACTATTACACTTAAAAGACCCTTTTTATCTATATAATTAATATTTAATATTGAATCAATATCAAGTGAAATAATATCATCAGCAAATTTAGTCTTGGTTAAATGATGAACAAAAACAAGGCGACTTTGTGTTTGCTGTGTGAGTGCATGTAAACGGTGTTGTGGATCTCGAGGTGATAATGGACAATAAACACAACCTGCCATTTCAATTCCCATAATACCAATCACCTATATAATATGAAAACTTCAATCACACTAAACATTAATTTTAAACAATAACTCACCATTGATAAACTTCGCTCAACACATTGACAAACAACGTCACCTGAAACAACAGCATATTTGTTTATTAGATGTAAAGATAATACTTGAACATAATATAGAAGTTCACAATATGTCAATGATTGTTCATCCAATTCAACAGCTAGTTTTTGTGGATGCTTCATAACTTGACAAATAAATGCATGATGAATACAAGTAACAGGAGATGAAAGTGATACCTGTGTATTATTCATTGATTGCATGAGTAATATTTCATTTGGTAATGATAATGATATTTCATAGATTTGTTTAATCATTTGATTATCAACAGATGTAAATAATTGATTCAAGATGGAATGAAATCGTTGAGAAATCTTATCGATTGTTTCGACATTAAATAAATCAAGTGATGCATTGATTGTGCATGACAGTTGATTGATGTCGAGATCATGTTGAATTAGAAGTGAGAAATCATACTTATTTCTAACTCCATTATCATTAATGTCCATTGTGGGAGATATGGAAGAAAGTTGACTATCACCAATCGTTATTTGTTTCTTGTCACTGCTTGCTATAGATGATAGAAACTGAAATGATATATCAAGAAATGCTGGTTTTGAAACATTTGGATGTTGATTGAGAATACGTTGAAGAGGAAAATATGAATATTTCATATTGTTTGTTGCCATCTCTCGAACATAATCAAGTAGATATTGAGAAGACCAATGAGGATCTAGTTGACATCGTAATGGAATAATATTTTCAAACAGTCCAATTATAGATTTTAGCTCATCTTTATAACGATTGTCGATATTCATTGAAATACATATATCGTTTTCACCATTTGTTAATTTGAATAAATAAACATAGTAAATAGCAAGTGCTAGATGTTCATGTTTGATATTGTTTGATGATGCATACATAAGAAAATGATGTGAAGGATCTTGACCAAAATCAAAAGAGACAGATGTTCCACGACCAGTTCGCTGTTCATTTGCAAGACGATATCGATCAAATGGTAATGATAAAGGTTGATCGAGATGACAATCATAAAGTGTATCAAGCCAAAACATACTTGCATCGGTCATGGATATTTGATTTTCGATAGTTGAACATTCCTGAATGGTAGATGTGCATGAATCAGACGAAGCTACATGCGTATTGCCGAATTGATACATAAGATTTTCATCATTTGAAAGAACAATAGATAGCTTATACATAGGTTCATCGATCATGGAAGAACAAAAGAGTTGTGTAAGCATATATTGAAAACAGTTTGCAAGTTGATTAACAATAGCTTGACTTTGAAATATCTCAACTGCACAATCAATAACACATTCTGTAGTTCGCGCATGATGTTCATGTTCTATTGTAACAGCCATATCGAATGTAGTTAATCCATTACCGCGACTTTGATCTCGATCATAGTATACACCAATAACTAAATCTTTATCAATAGTAGATTCCACTGTAGTTTTTTGTGTCGCAGATGACATTAAAGAGACATATTGAAAGAATGTTGATGGCAATCGCTGATGTTTTTGTTTATCGTGTAGACCAATAATCTCTTGGTATGGTAGAGACGCATGTTCCAGAATATCAGTACTTAGTTGTTGCACCTTTCGCACGAAATGATTAAATGATTTATTTGGCTCAACTTGTATTCGATATGGTAGAATATTAACAAACATGCCGATCATTTCTTTTGTTTCTGGATTAAAGCGATTAGCTACAACACTTGCTACACATAAGTCATCTTCATCATTGAGTAACTTGAATAAGAATGCATAGAAGGCGGCGAATGATAGTGAAAACATAGTAATGTTATTGGAAGAAGCAAACATCATCATGTTGTCCACAACACGTTGATCAAAAATAAATACAGTCGAATAACCACGACCCGAACGAGTTTGATCATGTTTAATTTCGTTAGGTGCCAAGCTTCGTATTCGATTCCAGTCATAACCATGCATAAGATCGGACCAAAATCGACGTGCCTTGTTCATTTTTGAATTGAAATTTGTATCAGCTAGCATTGCCTGTTCATACTGAGCAAAGTCTATATACTGTGAAACCAATAATGTTGACTGATGATGTGCGTCAATCCAATATGCATGCTTAAATGCTTTAACGAATGACCTGGCTGAGCTGAGATCAATGGCTATGTGATGGATAGTAAAAACAATGAGGTCATTTTCATGCAATGAATGACCATGATTTTCATCACCTCGCTCCACCAGATGGCATTTAACGACTCTTCCCGTCTCCACATCAAAGTGTTTCCTAATGGATTCATCCGTTAGTAAATCATCCAATTGTTCCGCTGTTGATATTCCTCGTGAATGTTGAAATAAGTAAATATCATCAGAAACAGGTTGAATATATTGTTCAACCTGACTAGTTGTTGGGTTAAAACGAACAGCGGTACGGAGAACCGTATGCTGTTCAATTACTGAACGTAAAGCCGATTGTAGGCGTTGAATTGAGACTGAGCCTTGTTTGATTATTAATGGAACGACAATATTGTAGACAGATAGATCGGAAGCATAAAAGTATAGCTGTTCATGAAACCAAATTCTTTGTTGACCAAACGATGCCGTAGCTTCTGATCGACCCGAAATCGTAAGTCGCTGTTCTTTCTGCACAGTCGATCCTTTTGTTGCTGCTGCTGCTACTTTCGTACGTGAAAACATTTGTAACGAATAGATCGAATAATATCGATTGATTAGTTTATGTTAAATAGATAATCTATAAAAATCTTTAAAATATAAAAAGACCAAGAAAACTAAATATGTACTAAAAAATTTGAAATAAAAACTTCCAATTAACTAAATTCTTTATCAGTTTATTAACTAGAAAAACAAAAGTTGAGTTCCTGGTATCTGAACCGCTAACATTTTATTTATTGTATTCATATGGGCTTATTGTTAGTAATATTCCCGATGATGTACGATAGGTCTTGCTGTTTACTAGATAGTTCGACGAGTCTATCAAACTACTGGGAAATATTCAGGGATTTAGTAATGAAAGAACATATTTGAGTGCTTTTTCTTTTTTAAAATACATTTGAAACTATCCCCTTGCGTAGGAACCTTGATGAACATCTCTACTATCAATTTTCCAACTGCTTTCATTTACATTTGAAAACAGGAGACGATCAAACATTTTTATGCTTTTTAATTGTTGTTGTGATAATTGAGTGTAGGTATGAGCAAAGGCGAAGGTGAAAGAGAGATACTCTAACTCTCGCTCAAATCTCATATGCTCAGATCTACATTCGATTTTCACATTTATAACGGAAACCGAAAAAGTCTATCTTTCTCTTGTTACAGAAAAACGAACTTTCAAGAGTAAGAAAAAATCATTTTAGGAATTGACACTTATCACAGTTTAAAAGAATATTCTTTTCAGTCACTGTATACGGGTTTGATATCAGTGAAACATACAATTCACTAAATCTCCAAGCACTGAAAATGCTCATTGGATCTAATCTCCGAGGCAAAACTGATCATTTCGATCCAAACCTGCGTTCGACCAACACCAAACAATTGGAGTAAACGAGATATGCACGAAGGAAAAACAGGGCGATCTTATTCCGATGTAAGGTATAACTGAGACTTGACGTTTCACTTTTAACCCCATGATAAATAAAGACGCAAACAAATTATTTTCCTTTATATAAACCATCTTAGTGAAGGAAAAACATCTCCTTCTGACTCAGAAAATCAAACTTCGAAATTCCAAGAAGTAATCATAGATTCAGATTTCTCATCCTCGAAAATAGTGGTCATATTCTATTATAAATATTATTTTTGTTCATTGACTATGACTGCTATCTAATAAGCTTCATTTCAATATGATACTATCAAAGTGCACAAGTACTATTACTACCATTCTGACTATTCATTTTCAATATACTACATCAGATATTATCATACAAAAGGTATATATAACATACAGTGATTTAGGTATAAAATAGTTATGTATATATCAACTGATCTATGGTTTATTATATCATCGACAGTTTTCTTTGTTCAAGTAGATTATAACCATATAGTTATGATGCCCTTAAAATAAATATACGTCGATTTTTCGACAGATGTAGGGATTTTCTATTATAATAAATTTACTCAAAATTCAACTCATACTCGTGTCAAAGCCACTAGAACTCTATCGTTATAATCTATTCTAATAGAGAAAATAGTCTATGATATAATAAACCATAGATTAGCTAACATATACATATATCCAGTGAACCGGTGCTGATGTATACCTAACGTACAGGAAAATAAACAGTGTTCATGATAATAATAGGAATGAAAAACGAATGAAAAAAATGAGTAAAGGACTATATTACATAAGTGTGACATGAGTTACTTATCAACAAAATAAGAAACTCACAAGCATTATCATATCATGACGTTTCACAATCACACAAGAAAAACAGATCAAGCCGTTGTGGTATTGTATTAGATAATAGGAAAAAAATATGTTATTTTAAGATTGTTAGTATATAAAATGACTAACTAAAGAAAAAAAATCATAAAACTGTTTCTAGAATAAATATCACACTATAATAAGTAAATATAGAATACTAGACAAGTTGGCATTTTTGTATTACTAAACAATTATTTCAGTCACTATATTAATGAACAAACAGATCAATTAAGATAAAAGAAAATATTGCAGGGGATAAAACTCACTATTTCAATGTCAATCGATCGAAATAAACTCATAAATTGAATAGCAAATCCATTGAGGAAACACACACTTTGGTAAAATTACAACTTAATATAGGTCAATATTGATGTGTTTATATTTGAGAAACATAATAAAATACTCATTCAAAGACAATTAGTAAGCAAAACATCTGTTTTACTTGCATGATATGGAATATATTATAATAGATTCAGATCCAAACTAGGTAACAATCATGCCATAAAATAGACGTGAAAATATATATCAGAAAATAATTGGCAAAGTTTTCCTCTGTCATAATTAATTCATATATTAATTAATCCGATGATCACAATCCATTTTCTCTTAATAAGTTAATGTGTCTGTCACTGTTCTTGATTCATTATACTCATTAAAATAATGGTGAATAGGAATGCACCAAATCCTAAAACTCTAACATAGAGAATGTAGATTTTCGATTTGAAAACTCGCCTAATCTTTGGTTCGTTGATAGTCAATTTTCTTGCTCTATCTGAAAAAATATCTTATTTGTACAATATAGGAAGACTTATCAGTATGATCAGGTTCAATAAAGAAGTTACAGTTCTTGTCTATTGATGATAATTATTAACTCCTATACTCCTATACCCTACAAAACACACAGAAAGAATATAGTTGTTGTTGTTAAACTTCTTTCCACTAGTTTATATAAAGGTTCTCAATACTCCATAAGTTTTTTTTGCTGTTCACTTTGATAAAGTGCAATTTTTTCTGTCAAAAATATGTTAGTTAAGCTAAGAAAAAATACTTTCGTGCAATGTTCTATTTTTTATAAATAATATTGAAGAATACTAAATTTTTGTAGATTTTCACTTGTCATTTTTCTACTTTTCAGAATTTAAGTTTCTATAAGTACTTATATAGTGTGATATCTTGTAAGTATTAGAATTAGTAAATAAAAAAAGAGTTCAAACTAACCCGACCATCAATGTTCAGAGAGTATTAATTAATAACAAATTTAATTCTAATCATCCAAAAGAATTAATCGCACATCGATTATCTTTGAATGATTGTTAAGCTGTCTTATCATTTCATGCGCAATGATTTCTTCTTGTTTGTTGCGATTAGCCACTAGATGATAAGGTCCGCGCGGTTGAATACGACGCATTTGCGAGATCATATTTTGAGCATAAGTGGATGTACTTGTATCCGATATCGTTAACGGTATTTGAATAACATAGATGGTAGCTGACGCTGTTTGACTTTGCTGTTCAGATAATTTGTGCATAAATAGTGTAAAGGACTCGTCAGTATTACTGATTGCCTGCTCCGCGATATAGAAGAGAACAGAACTATTGCTCTGAAGCGGACGTTGAAGACAAATGATATTCTCTGTACTAGTATGTATGGAAGTGTTAGATAATTTGATATTATTTTCATCGATCAGATCAGAGTCTACATTATGTTCTGTAGCAATTGATGTGGTAACTTGTTGTTGATCGTGGAGCTTATTATATATAACTGTTGCAATTCTTTCAATCGAATACCCTTGAAGAAGATCAGCTAATGGTATATAGACACCAGTTTCTTGTCCCAACCAATTGTATAGTGAGATAGCAGCTAATGAATCCATGCCTTGACTCACAAGTGAACGATCAATTAATATACGATCGACACTGACTGCACCTAAGAGACGTGCTACAGCTACATGAGCTCGCTCAATAATAGTCTCCTTTTGATTCAGATCAGAATTAATCGTACTATCGATTCTCGATATTGCAGATGTGTTGCTGAGCTTCATTTCGACAAAGCGTTGCTGTGCTATTCTTGCTAACTGGAATGTTGCTAATTTGTGACGTCTCTCATACAATGTTTGCCAATTAACAGCAAAAACAATAGGACATGGACAAGTGTTCTGATGTTTATGAAAACGTTCTATCAATTCATATACAACCACTGTTGGTACTAATTCAAAGCCTTGTGTCGTTTGAAAAGTTGTTAACCACTCTCGTTGTCTATGAAACATGCCAGCACCGCTCACTGCTGGTAAACTGATAGAGAGAGCTGGTAAATTAAGCTTTTGCATACGATAATGAGCAAGAGCATCAAGAAATTGATTACCGGCATTGTAACCGGCGGACGCCAATTCAAGGAGATGATTTCGAATTGATGAAAACATAATGAAAAAGTGAAGCGGAGTATGAGTAAGTTGTGTTACTTGATGAAGAATCCAAGCACCATGAGCCTTCGGTGCAAGAACACGTGTTAAATGTTCTTGTGTTAAATTACTGAGAGTACGATCTTCTGCAATAACAGCACTATGAATAATACCTCGAACAGGATAAGAACTTTGATTAAGTCTTACAATAAGATCATGAACTTGTTGAAAGTTTGTCACATCTGCTTGTGCAACATCAACATGAGCATTATATTCATTTACTGTTCGTTTCAATCGCAACCAATCATCATATTGTGGATTAGAAGGTTGTTCGAGTTCAACTAAGGTACGACGACTCATCAGTGCTATACGTTTAACACCGCGTTTCTCTATCATCCAACGAGACATTGTTAAACCAAGACCACCAAAACCACCAGATATTAAAATTGTTCCTTGATTACAAACTTCTGATGGAAACATTGTATTATCATTTACAACTATTGATTAGGAAAAAAAGAAAAAAAATAATAATTGAAAGAAAAAAAGGTATGATTACCTTTTAATAAACTATTAGATTGTTTTTTATTGATATTTAATAGTTGATCAGATGAACTTATACGAAAAACTGTTTTACCCACAACTTGACCACTATTACATCTTAATAATGCTTCTATTACTTGAGATGGTTCATAAATAACTGTTGGTTCAACAGCACGTAGTTTACGTCGAATAAATAAATCAATTGCTTCTTCAAACATAAGACGAACAAGAGGTGATACGTGATCAAGAAGTGCAACAAAATCAATTACATGAAAACTACAATCTGATCGTAATTGAAACATTGATAAATTATTATTATCATAAATATCTCGTTTACCCCATTCAACAAAATTACCATGATATGCTAATAATTTAATTGATTCTTTGAGTAAATTACCTGATAATGAATTAATAATAACATCAACACCTTGTGGGAGAATTCGATGTATATCATTAACAAAAGAAGTATCTCGACTATTAAATACATGTTCAATGCCATAATATTCACGAAGAAAACGTCGTTTTTCTTCACTTCCAGCTGTAGCAATAACACGAGCACCAATATATTGACAATATTGAATACACATTTGACCTGCAGCACCTGTTGCAGCATGAATAAGAACAGTTTGACCAGCTTGTAAATGAACACGATATCTAAGAGAATAGATAACTGTTAAAATTGGAGTTGGCATACCACATAATTGTTCATCAGTAAGAGGAAAATCAGATGGAATACGTATTATAAGTTGTGAATTAATCATAATATGTGAATGATATGTACCAAGACTAGTAGCACCTACAACATGATCACCAACTTGAAAACTAGTTGTTGTAGGACCCACACGTACAATAGTACCAACAAAATCTGAACCTGGTTCTGTATCTTGATTAACTTTTGGTTGATCTTCATCCGGTTGTGCAAAAGTACGTGTATGTGGATAACGACCACGTGATTTAAGTACATCACGAAAATTAATACCAACACAATGAACACGAACTTCTACCATACCTGCTCGTAATAATTCTTTTTCTCTATCTTCTTCAATCCATGTTATTTCAGAAGGAAAACGAGATGGTGGTACACAAATACGAAATGGTTTTTGATCAGCATCTCGTTTAGGAATAATAGAAATTTGTTCGTATTTAGATTTCTCTTGTTCATTATTATCATCATCAACAGATTTTTGCAACATTTCATAATGCCATGTGATATGTCTGACTTGATTTTCGTTCGTGTCAAGATGCAGCACAATCTCAGAAGTATTGTTTGAATATCGAGAACTCATCATATGTTGTATTAAAGCACGCACAAATATTGGCTTGTTGATCGATGTTAGTGGTGATTGTAGGTCAATTAGTTTTAATCGATTTCGCTCGTATTCAATCATCAAACTTCGCGCAAGACCAATGATTGGTGACGTGATTATATTGCAATCAGAACCTATATTGTGCTGCCCATGATGCGTGAGAACAAACACAAATGGATAAAAATGAGAAGATTTTGTGTGAATTGTTTGAAGCATGAGAGATAATATACTACACATAATTTCTTCATGTTGTTTGAATGCTAAATCACCGTTACCATCAAGTAATGTTTGTTCAAGTGGCCATGCAAAAACAATATACAATTGTGTATATGTTGTTACCATTTCTTCAATTGCGGAACAAATTAGTTCTGTGATTGGATTGCGAATATCAAAAAATTGATAATTTGTACATGGTAAAAATGTGGTTATAGTGTGGCCAAGACTTCCAATATCATTCCTGGCAAACAGAAGCCATCTCTGATGTTTTCTTTCAGCAAGTGTCTGTAGTATTTCGTGAGACATCGTTTTCTGAGCTATAATTAGTGTACTTTCATATTGACTCCATATTGGAGTGATAGTTGTAAATCCACCTATTTGTTTTAGAACTGTGACCCATTGTTGGATATCATTCAAAGCGCGAGTATTATTTAACGGTGACCACCATTGATCAAGTAGACCTAATATAAGATCAAAATATAGAGGAACACCAATTAATTCAAGCAATAAAAGAAGACCATTCGGAACAAGTAAGCGACGAAGACTGATAAGAGATTCTGCTAAATCTTCGTTTCTTGGAAGTTGGTTTGCAGCAAAAATAATATCGAATGATTCGTTTGGTATTTTGGTAAATGTTTCATTATTAAATAAATCAAGTGTTTGATCGTATGTAATCGACAAACGAGTTTGATCAGCTAAACGTGTTTCAAATATTTGTTCGGCTTGTGCCAGTTGTGTCGTGTCCATATTCACATAATGAAAGTCAATCAATAGATCTGTATGACATGATAAATTGAGCAACAGATCAAGAATAGGAAGAACATCCGAACATTCACTACTAGCAAACCAACATATGCGCCATCGATAATGACTGAGTGAGCCATCGCTACTTCGCTTATGTTCAACCCGAAGATGTTGATCAATTGCATCAAATACCATTTGTGTTTTATTTGCACTCATGATATTTTTTACTTGTTGTAAAATACGTCCGGTATCATCGTTTCCTACGAATACATCCACTCCACTCTGTTGCCCTGTAAAAATTGCTTTTAATCGCGATCCATATGCGTTTAATAAGGTCAGAATTGGTTCGAGACGTGAAAAACGCTTGAGCAGTTGCACAAGACAAAGTTGTGTAGAATGAAATGTCACTTGTTCGCATAAAAGTGAGGTTAACAAGTGACAAGCACTCAATAAAGGACGATACTGATCATCAACAAGACTTAAATCGAGCTCTTTTAGTGATAATTGAGCATAATATGCAGCTAGTTTGTTGAATGGTTCAATTGATTCAACTAAATCTTGATTGCTAACAATATCGATTTTAGTATTGAAAATTTTCTCAGGTGATGGAAACAGATCAGCTACACTTGTTATTATTGGTAAATCATTCCATACTTGTTTCATAGAATAGTCTTTTACAAGACTATCTATATGTTCTTTATGATCGACACTAGGCAAATCAACTGTGATATTTAATTTATCAAAAATAGATTTTTCTAATGTCCATCGACCGGATCGTGTACCTTGAATTTGTTGAGTAACAAAACCTTCAACTGTACAGATGATTTCTTTTGAAGAAGAGTTTTTGTCACCACTTGAAAGAATTATTATATCACAAGTATGTGCTTGTTCTTCGCTCAGACCACAAACATTATCATGATAGTTGCCACGCATCTCAATATTGGAATAAGATAAGTTTTTGTTTGTACTACTAACAAATTTTTGAATACTAATTGGAAGAAATGTTGTATCAGTGCCAGGTAGTAAAGCTATAAGCGGATGAAAACAAGCATCAAGTACTGATGGATGAAGTAGATAATAAGAAGAAAGATCATTGATTTTAGTAAGATCATTTGAAACTTGAGCGGTAACTGTAGATGTTGTACCTTGTAAGAAGTTCATATTTTGAAATAAAGGTCCAAATTGATAACCTCTTATTGACGCATACCTATAAAAATTTGATGTATCATGTGTCGACCATGTTGTATCAATTATCATATCAGTAGTAAGTATTGTGTTTGGTTTTTGTTGAGTATTATCCATATTAATTCGACCATGAGCATGTAATGTGAATTCATTCAAAGAATATTGACTGAGAGCTTGTTGATCGAGAAAAGAACCAATGAAATCATTACTAGCCATGCCTGATGAATGCATACAATCTGAACCAGCTGATGTCCATGGTCGACTATAGATGGACCATTCACGTTTTGGCATATCAATTTGTGTAAATACTTCTGTCAATTCATGCTGAGTAAGAACGAGCGCTTTGACGAATTTGATTTCTTCTAAAATAATTAAAGATTGTTCTTTTTTATCGAATGATTGAAATAATTGTTGATAGCCTGCTGTGACTATTTCAAGTAGAGCTGTAGCAGGAAAAAGAATAGCATCTTGAATCTTGTGATCTTTCAGATAAGCATATTGTGGTAGATTAATATTGATAAGACTTTTCCATGTCGCAGTTGTTTGTCCTATTAATTGACGAACACCAAGTAAAGGATGAGTTGGAATACGATTAGCTAAACGTTTGACAACTGCATCTTTCGATTCATACCAACATGAACTAAGATCAAATGCATATAATGGAAAATCATCAAAGAATGCTTCATCTTCGTCTGAAGATAAAATATTTCGAGTATGAAAATATCGTTGCCAAATATCAGATGAGATTGTTAGTAGTGCTAGACTTGTCAACAATGTGATTTGTTCATTTTCTTTTCGTTTTAATGTTGGAAGAATAAGTGGTTGTTGGTTTATCAATTGGTAACATTCTTGAATTGATGTAGCCAATACTGGATGCGGTGAGAGTTCAAGAAAAACACTTACATCGTCATTTTGTGCAATAGACGCTATAGCATCATAAAATCGAACAGCTTGCCTTACATTTGTCCACCAATAATGTGCATCAACTGGCATTTCATTACTTAATTTACCTCCAATGACACTTGAATAGAGACGAGCTTCAGCACATTTTGGATTGAACATTTGCTGTGGATCTTTGAGAGGAAGTCCTCGAATATCACTTAGTGATGATAACAGCTCTTTTTCAATATCAAAACGATCCATTTGATAAGAATGAAATGCATTTTCTATGCGAAGACGAGCGTTGAAAACATTTGGATAAAATGTCGAAAGCCTTTGTTGTAATTCATCAATAGTCTTTTCATCGCCACTTAATGCGATAGAACGAGGACTATTTATAGTTGCAATACAAACAAGATGTTCAATATCTTTGAGAAGATTATTTTGTACTTCTTCTTCGCTCATAGATATGGCTAACATGCAACCACCTTGTCGTGTATTACGATTTTGCAGACGTGATCGATGATAAACTATACGAACAGCTTCCTGCAAAGTGAGACGACCGGCAACAAAAGCAGCAGCTTGATCTCCAGCACTTTGTGAGACGATTGTTGAAGGATAAATATTCCATGAGACGAGTAAAGCAGCTAAAGCAACTTGAATAGCAAATAAAGCTGGTTGAGCAATATTTGTATCATTAATATGAGATTCTTGTTCATTCTTTTTTTCAATTAACTCTTCTAATAATCGCCATTCACCATTATTGATCTTTGTCATTTCATTATCAATCAATTGTATCCATTGAGTAAAAACAGGTTCACTTTCATACAATTGTCGACCCATAGCCCACCACTGAGGACCTTGTCCACTGAAAACAAAACATATTTTTTGTGATAATGCTATTGTTGGACGCAATTTAAACGCAAGCCCCGAGATTGTTTGATCGGCAAGAAAAGCATCCAGTTGTTGTTGTAATTGGTGACGATTTGCAAATACAAAGATGGCTAAGTGCATATAGCTAATTGTTCGTCGAAGAAGAAGTTGTTGAGAAATACGTTGAAAGAAAGCATGATCATCATTTACATCAGAAGTTGGCCTTTTTTGTAGCCATTGATTGAATTGTGCTACTTGATCTTTAAGCGACTTGCGACTTTTTGCTAAAATAAGAATATAATATGAATGACAATGTTTGATAATCGTCTACTTACTTGAAAACAGAAAGATGAAATGTTGTTTGTTTTCTATTTGATGGTGTTCATTAGCATGACCATTTGCATATTTATTAATAACGGAATTTTTTGCACTGGATCGATATTCTTCAACAATGGCATGTACATTGTTACCACCCATGCCAAATGAATTTATAGCGATAGCTATCGTATCAGTGTCAGTGGAAGGTGGAAAAGGTACAGAATGTTGAACAACATGAAGATTATAACGTTGTGCTTCGATTCGGGGATTAAGTGATGTGAACTGCATATTTGGTGGAATAGCTCGATGGTGCATACACATAGCAACTTTGATTAATCCAGCAATACCAGCTGCACCTTCTGTGTGTCCCAAATTACTCTTAACAGAACCAATTAATAATGGAGGTTCAAGAGATGATCGATTGAAAAATCGACCTAGACAATTTGCTTCAATGGGATCACCTATCGGTGTACCAGTACCATGTGCTTCAACGTAGAAAATGCGTTGAGGATCAAATTTTGTTCGTTTGTAAACATCAGTGAGTAGACGTGTTTGTCCAGCAGCTGATGGAACCACATAATTACTTTTATCTTCATTTCCATCATGGTTACTGAGTATATCGCGAATAACACAGTATATACGATCACCATCACGTTCAGCATCACTTAGTCGTTTCAACATTATAAGACCAAGACCATCACCTAAAAACTTGTATTCTATTAGAGGTATGCAAATATAACTCTTACCTTTAGCGTAACCATTAGCATCAACACTAAATGATCGACTTCGTCCATCAGGTGATAGAGCACCAATATTCGAGGCATGAAAAACACTTTCTGGTGCAAAAGTACCATTAACACCACCGCATACGGCAATGTCTGCTTCGTATGTACGAAGACTTTCTACAGCCATATGCACCGCTTCTAACGATGATGAACAGGCAACATCTAATGAGACATTAGGACCTTGTAGATTAAAATGGTATGATAGTCGAGCTGCAGCATTGTACAATGAGCTATTGGGTCCATGAAATCTTGATCGATATTCGGGTTCCATTCGAATTAATGTGTACGCATGATCTGTGGAGAACTGCCCTATGTGTACAGATGTTCGTGAACCATGCATTTTTTCAATATTATAACCAGCATCGTCAAGTAAATGAACAAATTTAAGCATCAATAATCGATGACATGGATCAATACTACCTGCTTCAGCATCTGATAGACCAAAGAAACCTGCCTCGAATGTATCCCATTGGTTATTCGAGAGAAAATATCCTCTACGAATAAGTTTTTTCTGGAGTGTTTGATTATTGTCCATATTGAACATATGAGCACAATATGAGTCAATATCAAGTCGATCACGAGGTATTTCGCTACCCACATCTCGACTTTCATCCAATGCAAGCCATAGATCATTTGGACTATGAATATCACCAGCAAATTCACAGGCTATGCCTACAATAGCCACTGGTTCCAAGATGGTGCTAGTGGGTGTCATTTGAGATATGTTAGATAAAAAGCTAGTTGATTATCAGAAGAAATGAAACAAAAACTGATGAAGTTTTGATCTGAAAGAAAAAGAAGTATTGAAAACTATTGTGTGTCAAGAACACATAATATTAAAGAGAAGTCGCGAGAACTCTCCACAAACAAGCAAAGGCAAGATTTTTCGAGTGGTTTCTTCGTATATCGAAAAATATACTTTACTAATCTATAGCTGTAACAACCGGCGAATGTTTCGTTCCCGTCGATCTAAATATTAAAGAATAGAATAGAATTAAATTATATTAAAGTAATTGCCGATAATAATTCATCTTCATATTCACCTAAACATTCAAGAATAGAGTTTATCTGTAGTAAAATAATTACTTATTAATACAATTGTATGATCATTAAAATGAAAAATTATTTTTGAATGTAAATCTGATAAAAACGATTGAAGATTAAACTGACTTGAATTTGGTAGAATTTAAAAAATTGACTTCTTTATTTGTATACGGTTACTGATCGTCACTATCTTTTATAAAGGCGTTTATATCTTAAATGTAATATGCATATTCAGTTTATCATTACGTTCAAAAAATTCTTCTAACGAAAGAGTTTAAAAAGCTAAGAAAAGTTTCGATATGATTGTATTGACTGTATCCGACAAAATAACACTAGATGAGCTAAGTCCTCTCCCCTATAATAGAAGTCCCCTCTGAGATGAGCAACGTGTTTGACGTATTAGAAGTCTCCTTGATTTTTCCAAGAACATTTTGTCATTTTTGAGATTTTTTCGAATTTTCCTGCTAAAACTGCTAAAATTTTTCGATTTTAAGGTGAAATTTCGATTCGCTCCTATCTAATTGTGCTTAAATCTGGAAAAACTGCCTAAAATCTTATGAAAAAATCATGAAAACCTTGAAAATCTCTAGAAATCTTTCGAATCGAGTTCTTTATCATGGTCTGTGAAAACTTTTTGGAACTTGATAGAAGCCCCTTCAGAAATTATAGACGGTGGACAAATTAGAAGCTCCCGGAGGCTTTTAATATAGGAGAGGGGGAGGGGATTTACTGTTTTCTTACATATGTTTTTTCTTAATAATAGAAAATGTCAATCCAACTAACCCTTGTATTTTTTTAATAAACAGGCGAGGTATTATTTTAGAAAGTATTTTAAAGATAAATGTACCATTGTACGTTTGCTGTACGAAAAAGAATATCGTCTCTCACTATAAAGACCCTTTTGAAAAACCCTTAGGGCGCCGCCCAACCACTCGTTAAATCCTGATTACGCCACTGCTATAAATATAAAAATTATTTTGTTAAATTTCAATTGATTATAAAGTTATAAGAAGTGCAATAAAAAGGACAACAGTGTCAAATTCAAACAGACAAAACATACCTGACAATCCTGAAATGGTTGTTTAGCGGTTGGGTGAACAATTAATATGATAATGAGAAGAAAAACTTCTCAAGCAACAGCTTTTGTTTATGTTAAATCTGCTTGTTGTACTTGTGTACGAACAGACTTTATAAATGCTGTTTCTTCTTGTTAAGAAAATAAACTTGATATATCTTCTGTATTGATTTAAGATATTGAAATTCTTCTTCTGTTTTTATTAATAAAACAATTTTGTCATTCTAACAAAAAAATAAGAATATTTTCAGTTTTATTAAATAAAATTCTATAGAACAAACGCGAATTCTTGAGGGTGGGTATCTCTTTTTGTTCTTTATCATCCTCACATACACCCACACCCTATTAATAATGAAACAATTCATTCAATAACCAAGAAAACATAATTAAAAATTAATTCTAGTTTTACCCTACATATTAGTACTGTTGACACAGCTGAATAAAATCTAAATGATATGCCTAACTTCACCATCTATTAATTTATGGCGAAGAGTTGTGCATTGTATTCACTATTAATGATAAAATAAATCATTTAATAAAAAGGAAAATGTAATTAAAAATTAATTTTAGTTTTACCGTGCATATTAGTGCTGTTGATGCAAATGTGTAAAATCTGAAGATTTCGACTGATTTGAATTATGTTTAAGAGTAATAAATTTACGATGTGTTGTTGGAACTTGAAAACTTATGCGGGATCGCACGTAACATTGAGCTAGTTTCTTATGTTTATGTGACTGAAAAATAATTTTGAGTTAATGTAAAATATGATTTTGTTCTGCCATGTATTCACGTTAAAAGTAATTATCGATTTTTTTAAAACATAGTTTTGTAACGACATGTATCAAGGAGATAGATACATATCTACCTATATACTCATTAAAAATAATATTCAATGACTACAAAATAGAAAATTTTGTTAAGACATATGAAGGCCATACATGTTTACGTATATGCGCATTATAAATTATTTTCAATGACTCTAGGATACAAAATTTTGTTTTGACATATATCAAGGAGATATATGCTTATATGTATGCATATTAAGAATAATTTTTGATGACTCTAAAATATAATAATTTGATGCGACAGAAAAGAAAGAGAATGTAAGTAAAAAATCATTTGATTTTTTTTCACTGAATATTCATTCTATATTGCTCAAATAAACTCATAATGATGTTAAAATGATTGTTTTAATTCCAGTGAAATATCGAATATATTCTGCATCATATAGATTATTTTCAGCCATGATATTTCTGATAAAATAAAACAAACTCAGTTGAAATATCCCCTTATAATTAAAAGCGATTAATGTTTTTTTTAGAGCTTATATATTGATGTCTAACTCCATAGTTTTCATTTTCTGTGTAATAACCGTAGTTTCTATGATAGATATGCTTAAAAAAATTTTAAATTATAGTCACAAGTCATTAAAAATGCATATCGTATGTTAAATCTTATTAAATACTTTTTAGTTTTCATTGTTTAATCTCGTTATTACAAATCATTTTTTTATAATGCTATTCTATTCATACTAACCCTTTTTTATAGTTATCTCCATGAATTTTGTTTCTTTATTTTAATACACTCAGATAAACTTTCTATGTTATTTTATTTATAAGAAAGTGAATTTATTTTTATTCAGAATTGTTTTTCGTAGTTTATTCCACCTTTTGCCAATATTAAATTGTAAATATTTCATACATTTATTAAAGATATATAATCGAAGTATAAAGATAAAATTATTCTTTAAATTATATTTCAAATATTTTCACTTTAAAAGTATAGGATAAATAAATAGCTACTATAATGATACAAATGTATAGTTGAAACAATAATTATCTTTATTCAATTAAATGTCATAAATAATTCACACATTCCCGCAGGATGAAAACATAAATATACATTGACTTGCCTCATTTCCGAATCATTCTTATAAACTTTATAAAATTATTTTCATTTCAGTAAAAGTACGAGACATTCCATTTGTTCGATTTAATATTTTCAAATTTTTTGTACATGTATCAGTGAATCCACAAACACCTGATAAACGTTTGTCGATAAATCCAATATCAAATAATGCAAGTTGATGTTTAATATCTCTTATTGGACTATAATTAAACAAAAAAAAATAGAAAATAGAAACAATTCTAGATAAGAAACAAATGAGAATATTTATTAATAGATATTCTACAATCGAAAAATAGAACTGATTCTTTAATTTTCTTGCGGCAGATAAAAACTTATTAGAATAAAATAAATAGAAGACATCTTAATAGAATTTTATTCAATATTTATTTGTATAAAAAATTCTTTCGTCATTTCACTATTCAAGTCAAGATACTTTATTACTTAAAGCATCGTATTTTTATTTATATACTCTACTAGAAATTGTTTAGTTGAATGATTACATATTATTCAATATTTTTACTATGATAACAATACTTTTTTTCTGTATTTAGCAAAGCTAATCTGACCTTGAACGTTAGTTAGTGAATATTATATATAACAAACTATAAAATCATCTATGACACTGTCATCAATTGTCTTTATGTATAAACTTTTTATTAGCAAATAGTTGATAAATAGTATGAAAATCTATCGTTTCTAGTGCAATTAAATGATTTGATATGATTGACTCACTATTACAAAAGCGATTATCTGAATTTATTTTATAAAATAGAAAATTCATTCAAATAATTCTCACTTACTTATGTTGTAAGTTTAGACTAATAATTATTATAACGTTTGTATTATCTTATATGAAAGTCGTTACTCCATACAATTAATATAAAAGATACAACACAGCCAAAGTATAAATATTCTTTTGAAAATCAGTGACATGCATCGATGAAATGGAATCCAAGACATATTTTATAAGATACGACTGATATAGTTTTAAATCTAAAGAAACTTTAGAATAAACAATATGACAATATAGTATAGTTGCATTAAATTTCTATTCTTAAAATAAGAAAAAGAAAAGATGAGTTGAAATTACGAGTAATAAAAACAAATTATTTGACTTTTTCTTTTCAAAACTAATAATTATGTCAATAAGAATCATTATAATTTCATTGTTTGAAATGATATTTTATAGAATATAGTACCATTTTTTTCAATGTTATCGTAAAGAAAAAACTGTTTTCTGAATCGCATGGAATTCTATTGAAAATGTTCAAACAATATTGTAAAAATTTCGAGAATATTGACTTTTGTTTGTACGATAAATAAAAAGTTAAAAATCATATAGAACTTTTTAATGAATTTATTTTTATGTTAGAAATTCTTTTTTAAATCAATATGATAATATTTTGTTTATTTAATTCTAATTAACAAAATATAAATAAAACTTTTTTCTTCTATATTTAATCAAAATATATCTTCGTCCTAGAAGATATATGAGCACATTCGAGGTAGTTCACTTTTCATACGAGAATTAATCTAAATATTCATTCTCGCAAACAACAAACTTCAAAAAAAAAATCTACTTACTCATTTTTTTTCTGCTCTATTGGTTTTCTTCCGTTCTCTTTTTACATTCGAATAAGATAGTGAATCGAATCTCGCGTCTACCTCAATAAAATGACTCAAGTTTCTTTTTCGTCCTCTAATGTACAGTATACAATATGTGAGAGGTAACAGAACGAAATATCCACATTTTTGTCTCGTATTCGTATCTCCTCAGCTCTCTCGTGTAAAATCAATCAAAATTTTTAATAGTGAATATGTCGCCAGAAGAAGTCAATAGAGAAGACAACGCTGACTCATTGAATGAAATGAATCCTTCGAAGCCCCAAGTTCCTACAGAGAAAAGCGACTGACGATAAGTTCAATCATGAATAACTATATAATATATAAGGAAGACGATGCAATAGACAACAGTTAACAAATCAAACAAACACAAACTCGCTGATCATAAGATCAAAGAAATAGAAGGATCTGCATACAAAATTCGCAAACGTTGCACAAGTTGCTATGAAACAGAAAACAAATAAAAGTTAAGAAAAACGAGTCATATAGTAGCAAAGAAACTAAAAACTTTCTAATCTGACTTTGATAAATCTTTTCGTCTTTAATATTTTAACAAGAAACATCATGTTATGGAATAGAAGAGTCAAAAATATCGAATACAGCCCAGATGACATATTATATGTAATCTGCTATTTAAGAAAAAAGTAAAAGAAAGTATTTTTATATACAGTTTGAATTTATTAAAAAATTTCTATTTTGAATTCTTAGATAATATAATCTTTTGATTAAAATATGATAAATATAATGAATTAATTCTTAATTCTATTTAAAATAAGAGAGAAAATGGATTAAAACTAATCTAATTAATATAAGAAAATCTATTCATTTAGCTTAGTTTTTTTTTCATAAATTTTCAAATTAAAAAAAAATCGAATATTGTTAGAGAAATATTTTCAATGAAAGTTTTCAAATTGAAGAAAGCGAAACAATTTATTAAAAACTTACATAAATCATCCAAGATATTTCTAATATATGTTCTGTTCATTATTTGAACAATTTAAATAATCATAAAGAACATAACTAAATCATTTCAGTTTCTCCACCAAAATATAAAGAAAATATTGTTAAAAGGCTTTTTCTAAGACTTTCTCGTTCACGTTTAACATAACATTGAATAAAATTTTCTACAATAAAATTCAACTGAGTTTTTCAAAGAAATAAAATAATATAGAAAAAAAGCTAAACATTTTTTAAAACAAAATCACTCAACCGTTTCCACGTGCACTATGGAGATGAAAAAGCGACGTTTGTTCACTACGAACATCTATACATGTTCGTGTTCAACAACACGAGTGTCAAATAAGGCTAATCACGATCGCACTGTCATATGCATATAATTGCGACGCAGTCACGCGTAATTACAATGAAAATATCGTAGTTGAACGTGCGTATAATGAAAAAAATTATAATTATGATAAACAAATTAGATTTTGTCAAAGTTCTTTCACATATTCACATGACAATCCACTGTGAATTGATCTTAATATTGTGAGAGAAGCTTGTCAGATTAACATCATTCGTTTCTCTCTTTATTCAAAAATATTATTAAAGAAGAAATAAAATTGTTTAAATGATTACTCAAACAGATTTCCATCAAAATAATCTCATGACTTTGGATTATTTCAAAAAAAATAATATCATTGCAGTTGTTTCGTTACATTTTCACAAATTAATGAAAAAAAATTGTTAACGATATGAAACTGATTAGCTGAAGCTATTTATAAGAGAAAGCATGTTTTTAGTATTGATTAAAAATAATTGTGCGAACGTCATTGTTGTTTAGAAAAAATCGTTTGCATAAAACAATAAATTTATTTTTATTAGTAAGATTTTTCAATATCTTTATATTACTAAAATATTTTAACATAGGACATTATGTAATTAAAGACTTTTCAATCTCAATGATTATTGTATGAAACTGTTTAATCGAGTTTATTTGCCATTCTTTCTTTCTCTATTACTAAACTTTTATTATTGTAAAGATAATCATAGTTGAAAATGATCAAGTATGCTTTTCACTTGATAAAACTCTATCTGAGATATTTTTTTCTACTTTAATTTACATTGAAAAAATATAAGAATATGTTTCTGATATACAATCGACAATTTCCATTTTTCAAATTTATTTTCAAATCTTTTAACATCAAACAATTCAAAATCTTCACGAATTATATTGTTTTCAATTTAATAATGATGATGATGATGAAAAAAGAAAAAGAATTGTTTTAAATTTAATTGATTCAAACTTTATATCTCTTTATATATACTATGAACAAAATTTCTATATTCTATTTAATAGTTTTGTGCAAATACGATTAAATCAAGATTAAACATGATATAAAACTAATGAATATACTTTTATGAAGTATATTCTCATAATTTATATTAGAAATGTTTTTCATATATATTTGATTTTGCTCTATAAAATCATATAATATACATATTCTCTATTTTCATTTCATTGTCGTATTCTTCACGCTTACTTAGAATATCACACATTTTTTTTCGATTAATAAGATCAATTGTTAATGATTATAATGACATTTATCTTACTACTAATATATAAGTTTGCTCGATGGATAATAGTTCTATAAATATTTATGCATATGTCTAATATAAAAGAATCTATAACAATTGATAAAAGTAAACAAATTCATTTATTTAAATAAACAAAAAATTCATAGAAATAAACATTTCTCACTGTATCTTTATAAATTCAATTCATACTAGGGAAACAAAATCCTGATATTCTTTATGATAAAAAACACAATTGCTCAACCTGATTTTTCTCTATGACATTCGGATTGCTGATATCATCGATTTGGTTTTAACTTATATATACACCGAGATTTCCAAAATCCTTATGTCAATTTTGTACCAACAGATGATTCACTCATGCCATTGAATCTAGTAACACATGAACGACGAAATGCTTCACCACGTTCATCAATCCATTTATTTCGAATTAATACAGTACAAGCTAATAGAAGAAAATAAAACTATGAAAATATCAAGAAAGAAAATTAGAAAATACCTGCATGAGGAGTATTGTAATCTTCTGAAAAGATAGAAATAATTTATTATATATACCAGAAAAAATAAAACGAAGTGTTTATCTAACTTTCATTCGATGCATAAATATTATACCAAAATGCAGCACTTCCTTTTTTGATTTCAAATGATCGCCAACTACATGAAAAACTGTTGCATCACCTTGTTCAACATCATTCAATTAGAAACATTTATTATTATTATTATTATAACACATTCCTAATAATATCCAATTAACTTACATAAGTTAACCACGTAGCAATACGATTTCCTAGAAAATAAAAATTATGATATTATTTTTCATATAGAATTTCAACTCATGAGCACTAAGATCTGAGAAAGCATCTTTCTCTGATATCTAAATTTAATTTTTTTTTACTAAATTAAATAAATAAATAAATATTCCTAACTTACTCGTATAAATTCAAAATATGATTCATAATGATCACCAACACCATAATTTACAATCGAATTATTTTATTCTTTATTTTATTTTCCTATTTTCTAATTATTCACATATCTGAACATCTTCAGCTGTTAACATAATTAAATTTGTTACACCTTCAATTAATCGAGATAAAAGAGAAACAGTTGATGAATCTTCATTTCTCAATCAACTACTAAAAATAAAATAAAAGTCAAATTTTAAACTAAATCTATATCTGCAGATAAATACGTAATATACAAAACAATAAATATAACAACGATCCGTTAATAACGATGAAAAGCTTTGGAGTTTGAGGAGCAAAAGCAATATTTGATTGATATGGATTAAAATTAAATATGAAAATTATGTATTTGTTTTTTCTTAGTTCGTACTTTTTGTTCACTCTGGCACTGGCATGTTCATATTTTAATGTTTTACGATTTTGTATAATCACTCTACTTAGCTACAATCATAATTTGAAAATAATTATCTTAAATAAAATATTCATAAAATAATGATGAAAATAAAGAAAAATTATTTTTAACATCATATGAAATATACATAATTTAGTCTGATAAACTCTAGTTTTGATCAAAACAATTTTGTCTATGATATTTATGTTTTAAATCTATAAAAAATGTTTAAAGATTGATTGAATCAACTAATACTAGTTTTTATTTATATTCCTCTCATTGATATTTTTTGCGCGAAACGTTTTCTCATAAACCCTTCGTATTCATCGAAATTTTGTATATATAATTTGCATTTAAAAAGTAGAATAAAGAAATAAATTCAAGCTATATACATGTATGAATAATTTAAGAAATGATATTCTATTGTTTCTACGAATTTTATTTATTTAAAACTAACATTATTCACAGTGAACGATTGTTTTTTGAGAAAAACGTTACAATCATATTTTTGTTTACTCAATAATCTGTATAAAATCCCCAAATATTTCTAGATCTTTCATTTTACAAAATAGAAACAAGATTCTGCTATATACTCAACTACAAATAAAATCATTCAAACAACACAATATGCAATTTACTACATGTGTAAACAACTAACAATAAATAGACCTTTTATTTTTCAGTATCTCTTACTCATTCTATAATCAGTTGATTTAAAATTATCGAACACAAAATCGTGAACGACAGCACGTTGTACTTGTAAAGAGTGACAATTTTATTTCTAGTAGATTTTCTAATATTTCTTACTTCTATATATGTATTACATACTCTTGGTGAAGAAAGTCATTTGATTTTTTCAATATCCCAATTAGCAACAACATCGTGAAAAAGAAAAATAGCTGGTTGATCTAATAATTTTTCTTATTAAACAGGATGTAAAATAATAGATGAATGATTATTATGAAGATAACAACAAAATAATTTTGCGTGGCGTTTTCGACTTAACTAGATAAAGTAAAATTCTACAAAGACTATTTCTAAATATATTAATTGTGTTCCATTCTGTCAACAAAGTTTTTCATATACTTCACGTTCTTGAAAATAACTATCTAGTCTTGCATTATTTCTTTTATAATTTTTCGTTTGTGACACTGTTGGCAATAATTTTAAATTTTGTTTATCATTCGTATTCATATCATTTTTGCGTTCTTGTTTAGTTAATGTTCGATTTTCTATAACAATTTCATAATAAATTGTATAATTATTTGTACGAACATGATTCGAAGCTAGAAAAATTCAAATATGTTTTGCTTTTAATGAAAAGAAATTAAATATTATTTACTAATTGTAAGTATTTCTTGAATTACTGCTAAAGCATGTTCAATATTTCCTTCCTAAAAATATCAAATTTAATTCAGAATAAAGAGAGAGAGAGAAAGAAAATCTTCTTTTACCTGTGATGTTGTATAAGCAAGATAATCTAAAATATGAATTTTAATTCTAGACGTTTTATTAGTTTCTTTATTTAAATGATTACGAATGCTTCTTGCATCCACATTAATTTCTAATAAAAACTTCCATTTGTACATGCAACACGTCCCAAATCATAACATTCCAAGGCTAGAAAGAAATAAACTAGAGAAAAATCGATAAAGAAATTTTTGTTTGATTAATCACTTAATTCTTTTGATTTAAGTTTTTTATTTATTTCACCATTTACTAGTTGACTCGTATTTTATTTTTATGTATCTTGAGAACGCATTAATATCAAGTTTTTGTAAAAAATCTAGAAAAAATATTCATTGATGATTAAATTAAATTATTTATACTGGCAGGTAAGAATTCTTCGATATTATACTATTCGATTGTTAAATGTTTAATAAATAAATATGAATTAACTCAATTACAAAAATAATATTCTTTATTTCCTTGTACTTATCCAATTTCATATTTAATTACATTTATATATATCAATCTATTTTAATAATTACTTTTCTATCTCATCTAATCGTTCATATTCTTCTTTCAAATATACTTCGAATGTTTTTTCTAATAATATTTCACTTTATAATAATTGAGTTAAATATGTTGTGGAGTATAAAATAAGAACAAAATAATAAAGATAAAGCATTAAATGAGAAAAAAATGATAAGAAGAGAACGAATATTGATACAGTTGTCAAACAAGTTTAACAAAGATAATTAAATGAGAAATATTAAGTTTAAATTCAAAGAAAAAAAAGAATAGATTTTCCACATTATTAAATCGTAGGAACTCTTCTATGAAATATTCGACTAATTTTAATGTTTTTCTCATATAAATCAGTCGGATTTTATTCGTTAAACACTTTCCAAATCATTTACATAAGAAAATATATATATACAATGCAAAAAAAAACAAAAATCAATTTTAACATAAAAAGTTTAAATTTTCTGACGGTATATAAATATACTGAAGACTAAAGAAAAAGAAATAAAATGAATTTCTATATCGCACAGACATATTTAAGAGCTTTTCAAATAATTACTATTATCATCGATATTTAATTGTTGTTGAGAACATCAATAATTCGAAAATTTGATTTCGTTTTATTTCAAAGTAATATCGAAGTTTTCAATCTATAATCAAACTTATTATCAACGAACATCTTTTTTTTTCTTTTCTCGTTTTCTTCATGCATGAATAAACATTGTGATGCGATTGAAATACCTCCTTTCTCTTACCTTGCAATGCTTGTCAATAGTCGAAACTGAACGAAAAGAAAAATCACGTTCTTTTGGATCAAGTTAAGTATGCTCCAAATATGGAGTTTACGAATGTGTAAGTTTTCGCGAAAACTCTACCTGAAAACTGTAATTATCTATTTTTAATTGCTTTAATAGATACTCTGGACTGTACGAAGTCGACTGGTGATGCTCAAGAAAACAAGCCTACTGTTACGAGCTACAATTTGTCGAAAAGCTTGAAACTGTTAAACTGCAAATTTGAAGCTCACTGAACTTGACCGTTATTTTGTGTTGATAATAACTTTGTATATAGTTCAAAAGTTTTACTCTTACTTTGAAATAAAACAAAATAATCGACGAATTAGTTTATTTTATTATATCTCGTTGAATAATATAGATTTTAAATAAATATATATTTAATCAAAAGATTTTCTAATCTATCTCCACATTGTTCATACATTCAAATGTTATTCAATCCACAATTTATATGAGATTCTTCTTTATTTTCACGTACTTTAATCAATCAACGGACAAACGATTATTCTATCCGTTAATTAATATATAAATGAACAAGAAAAAAAATCTATAATATAGATTATATTGTATAGTGGTTTAAATACGAACAAATATAGATAAATTTCATGTGATTTTTTTCTTTATCAAAGTAATCTATATTAACGAAAAGCTTTTTTTTTATAAAAAATTTTTTTTTATTGAAAATTTCAACAAAAATAATTCTATATGTTTTACATTGACTTGTTCTTTTCCTATGAAAAACGCTTTGATAATAATCAATGAAGGCAATTAACATTTTGAAATCCAATATAAAATTGATGGAACATTGTACCAAAGAATGAGATATATAGATTGTTTTGTTCTTGTTCGAATATTTTTTTTTATTGTAATTACAATGATGAACGGATGGGGTAGTGATATCACTATCCTCGGTATATTACTCTATTATCCATTTGTGTTCATACCATACAACATCATATATTATATATAAGAACACAGGCAAGAGAATAAAAAGAATAAAATACAGATTAGTTTTATTTATCAAATACTATTTATATTGAGATGAACAATATTTATCAATAAATATGAATTTTTCTATAGTAGAAAAAGCAAATAATCTCATTTTTTGTTATTTATCAAGAAGAATTTCTCGATTGGATAACTATCAATTCTATAAAAAATCAAACTGTTTTATCTATTTGGCGCAATTAAAATATTATAACCATTTTATATAGAACATTTCTATGTGGGTGTCATTTTAATCGATTATTGTAAAGGTTGACAAGTCCCAGTTGAATTCTTAATCATTGAATATGGAAATTTTTTTTTTGAATAAGACGATAACATACAAAACAGTTTGAGTTTAATGATCCATAAATAAATAGTCTTAGTAAGATATGCTCGATGATTTTTTGTTATACTAATTATTATAAAATTCGAAAAAAATATAGATTATTAAATATAGAAGAAGGATTTTTTTGAAAATAATTTAATCGATTTGAATAAAAGTTAAGATGGTTTTCTTAATCTAGACTATTTAAATAAAATCAAAAACTTGCGAATCGAATTAAAACTAAATTGTCAGTGAAAGCGAAGAAGATCACATTGTTTGAATTATCTTTGTGTATGAATGAATCTATGTCAATATCCCAAATGTGATATTTTTGCATGTTTGACTAAATTCCTACCGATCATTATTATTTGTCAAAACTAAACTGTTCACAACAAAGAACCAATTGAAAGATAGAATTATATCTATCAGATTTGAGCATTTTCAATAATAGAAACTTTAAGGGTGGGTGTCGGTGTCTTCCGTAATTTTAGTCACACCGATACTCATCCTTCTAATATGATATATTTTTAAACTTTTTACTATCTCTAAAAATCCTATTTTTAATAATAATGATCAATATTCTTCAAATAAATCAAATATGATGACTCAAAATTCTTTTTTTTATTTATTCAATTGAAACAATCGCATTTGATGTTCATATTCTGTGTTGAAATTAGGATACAACATAGATCAGATCAAAGAGATCATGTAAAAGTATGTAAAGTATATGTATTATTTCTTTTTGGCAAGATAATAATAAAAGAGTAATCAATGAATGTTGTGAACTTATAATGAAAAATAAAATATTGTCTTAATACTTTTGCAATTTCTCTTCTATTATTTACTTCATTAAAATACTTCGTCGATATAAAAGTTGATTATTGAAATTTTCTACAAAATTAGATATAATTAGATTCAAACTTAATTTCATACATATTATAAAAAATAGAAAATTAGTAAAAACACTTTCATGGTTATAGATGTAAAATTATTTATTTTTTAATAATAAAGTAGTTGAATAACAATTAGTGTCCGTTGTTTTGAGTATTTAACATTGTATAGTAAATTCCACCTTTTTGTACTAGTTCTGTATGAGTTCCACTTTCAACTATACGACCCATTTCAAGTACATATATTAAATCACATGAACGTATTGTTGAAAGACGATGTGCAATAATAAGTGATGTTCGACTAGGATCTTCTGTTTGAGCTTGTTCAAGAGTTACTTGTACTATCTGTAAATTACAAATGTTAATAATATCTATAAAAGAAAAATAAACTTACTTGTTCATTATATGGATCCATAGCACTTGTCGCTTCATCTAATAACAGTATTTTAGGTCGACGAATAAGAACTCGAGCAATAGCAATACGTTGTTTTTCACCACCTGATAAAAAACTACCTTTTACTCCAACTTTTGTCTCATAACCCTATAACAATATAAGATTAAATTACTAAATAATCAATGTAATTCTATATTTATCTAACTTGAGGTAATTGTAGAATAAATTCATGAATATTAGCTTTAGTTGCAGCAAGAACAATCTCATCCATTGGTATATTTTCTAATCCATATGATATATTTTCAGCAATTGTTAAATCAAATAAAACTGGTTCTTGACTAACAACACCCAAACGAGAACGAAGCCATTGAAGATTTAATTTTCGAATATCAACACCATCAAGAAGCTTGTTTATATTAATATCGTCTATATGAGTACTTGAATTAAATAAAGAAAAGAGATACTTACCAATTCCCCATGTGTAACATCATAAAATCGTTCTAGTAACTGAACGATTGTTGATTTTCCACATCCGGATGAACCTAAAACGATTGTATTATATGAGTAATAAACTAGAAGATTTAATTTATTTGAACATACCAACAAGAGCTATACGTTGACCTGATTTAATAGATAATTGAAGTTTATTAAGAACAAGAACTGTTGGACGACTTGGATAAACAAATTTAACTTGATTAAAGTCTGTTTCTCCACTAAAGTTAGTCTAATCAATTCAAAATTAAAATATACAATTGAAAGACAATAGTTTTTTTTTCGTTTACTAATTGTTGTCCTTTATTCGATCCATTATCAATAGTTGGTGTTCGATCAAATAGATCAAAAAATGCGTAAGCAGCAGCAAATGATGCACCAATACGTCTTCCTCTAAAACAAAAATGATAAAAACAAAAAAAAAACATAAATTCTATATCTTACAACAATCCAACAGCCCTTAATGAGTCTAATGCAAACATTCCAAATGCAGAAACCCTATAAAAATAAAAAAAAAAAAATAAAATTTAATTTATATATTATCAAAGTTATTGTTTTAGTTACATAACAATATCGCTCATATCTAATTCATTGTTTTCAACAAGAATCAAAGCACGCCAATACAAAAGTCCCAAAGCCAATGGATTCATTGCCCAGTACAATGCAATTGCTATTGCAAACACTACTTCAGGTTTCCAAGACAATCTAAACAAAAAATAATTTATTGAGGATTGAAGTCAATATCTGTAAAAAAAGAGAGTTATATTCGATTTTATTAGCCCATTATCAATATAGAAGAGCATGTTTTTTGACAAAATTAATCAAGATTCTTCAAACTACCCGGAGTTTTGTTTATTACTTTATATATATTTAGATTTCAAATTAGATCTACTATAACTAGGAAATAAACTTACTACAATCAAAACAACTATATCATCAAATTTCACTCAAGTTTCGATTTCACTATTATTTTCTCAGTTCGTTTTTACGATTTTTTATTACTATGAAAAAGCTCTTTTTCAAATATGTATACATGCAGGATATTCAAAAGACTAACCTTAATACTTGGTCAATCATATTTGAATATTGTTGTAAAACTTCATTTTCCATTGATAACTGTTTTACTGTACGCATATTAGTTATAACTTCAACAGCAAGCTAAAAAGACAAAACATGAAATGAATATTTAATAATCATTTCATCAAATAATATATAATAACATAATTCTACTACACATTAAAAGAATATAAACAACAAGATGATTTTACCGTGCTTGCTTGAGAGTAAATGAGATCAGATTGTATTTTTAACCATGAACTCAACCGTATTTGAATAGTAGTAACGATTATCATGATAACGAAAGGAATAACTATGATTATTGTTAATTGCCAGTTGTAATAAAGGCCAAGTAAGAAGCCAAAAGCAGACATGGAAAAAGCTTGACAAATAACACCTAATCTTGAACCAGCCATGTCTTCAATAGCAGCTGCATTAGAGGAGAGGTGAGTACATATAGCACCAGAACTGTTTTCAGGTCGATCAAAATAAGCGACTTCTTGACGAAGAAAACATGCAAAAGCTTTTGAACGAATGCGACTAACTAATTTCGCTCCTGCGACTCCAAAAGCCGCAAACTATAAACAAACATGAAGAAACTCATTGATTTAGTTTAGAAATAATATGGTTACTTGAAAAAAATGAAGAATCATAAAAACAGCGCCAGTAATAAGAAATAAACAGCATGTAATCAATACTCGACGACGTACATCAGTGTATTTACAATCATTAAATTCCTAAATAAAAGATAAATTCGACAGAAAAAGATACATCTTTCATCTTTTCCTGGAGTATTCATATGAATAAAATTACTTACATTAATTATTTTTGCGAATAGAATCGAGAACACTGGCCCACGTAATCCACCAAGTAGGCATGCTAAACAACCAATCAAGATAAATACCCATTCAGGACTGTTCATCTTCATGAGTCTAAGAAAAACAGATTTTTCTCTTGCTGACGTCGAAGCTCTCTAAAAATTTATACATTAATAATGACTTTTTAAAGTTATTAGATATTTATTTTTACTCGATTTGTATCAATTGTTTCACTCTCACTCAATTGACGGACACGTTCCACTATTCCAAATAACAAAACAAAATGATGTTTATAAAATTTAATTATTATTAATATTAAAATAGTAACATACATAGTTGTTCTTCATCTTCAGCTATTGCTTTTGCCATATTCATTAAGCCATCTTGTTTACCAATCGTTTTTTCAGCTTGTTGCATTTTGACCATTGTTTGATATTTACCTCCTTCTTTTGCCAATAATGTTTCATGTGTACCTTCTTCAATTACATTTCCTTTATCTAGTACATAAATATAATCAGCATTTTGAATTGTAGTCAAACGATGAGCAATAACAATAGTTGTACGATCTATATATTAATAATAATAATAATATAATCAATAGTAATTAAATAATTTTTACTTTTGCATGCTCGATCAAGTGCTTCTTGAACAATTTTTTCACTAACATTATCAAGTGCACTTGTTGCTTCATCTAACAAAAGAATACTGGGTTGTTTGACAAGTGCACGAGCTAATGCAATACGTTGTTTTTCCCCACCACTCAATTGTATGCCACGTTCACCAACAAGTGTTTCATATTTCTATAAATATAAATAATAATACATAGAGATAAAACGAAATAATTAAAAAGCAAACATTAGGTAATTTCATAATGAATTTATGTGCATTAGCTTGTTCTGCTGCATGTTCAATCTCTGCACGTGTTGCATTCATTTTACCAAAACGAATATTTTCATAAATACTCATTCCAAATAGAATCTATTTCAACATATAAAAATTCAACAGAGACTAAAAAAGAAAATAAAAGAAACCTACAGGTTCTTGACTAACAACTCCAATATTTTGACGAAATTGTTTGATTTTATGATTTGTAATTGATTGACCATCAATCATAATTCTGCCTGAAGAAGGTTCATAATAGCGAAGCAAAAGTGATACACATGTACTTTTTCCTATCAGTCAATTTCAATATTAAAATGTTATGTTTGTTTTAGAAAAAAAAGATTTACCACAACCACTTGAACCTACAAGAGCAGTTGTTTGATTAGCACGAGCAATCAATTTAAGATTGTTCAAAGCTGTTGCATTTTCTCTCGATGGATAACTAAAACTAACATTGTCAAATTCAATATCACCATTAATATTAGAAATAGATCTTTCACCAGATATGTTCTCTTGCAATATTTCTCTTTCGTTGATATTTTCATCATGTGCCTATATCATAAAAAATAAAATAGAAAATATAATTACCAAGATTTAGTCGTTATAGTATTCAATATATTTTACCTCATCAATAAGTCGAAATACGGATACTGCTGCAGCTTGAGCTTCCGACATTGATTGAAAGAAAGGTCCAATTAAATTAAGATAACTTAAAGCTCGTGCAAACATATTTACAACCTAAGCGAAAGTTCATTTTTCAGTTACTTTCTTGCATATTGATGCCATAGCTCACTTACAATAAGAATTTCACTAATGGTCAGTGTACGAGGATTTCCATGAGACATAAGAATGAAACCAAAAGTGAAACCGATTGAATAAACTGCAAAGCTTATAAAAAATAACCAACCAAAAAAAGTACCAAATGCAGCATCTTTGCGAACAGTATACCATTCATTCAATTTTAGTTCTTTTTCATATCTAGATAAAGATAAATATGACAGTAAAATAATATACAATAATCTATAAATGTTTGTTTATTTATTTACTGTTTTTGTTGCCATTTGCTTCCATTGAATGAAAGAACAGTTCTTAATGAACTAAATACTTCTTGAGCAATTTCTCCAGCTTTTGAATATGTACTTAATTGCGCTTCTGTTTCTCTAGTGATGACCTGTAATTATTGATAAAATTTCAGCAAACTAAATAATAATATATACCTTTGCAAACATCAATGAACTTCCAACAATAATTGGAACCATACAAGACATAATTAAAGATAGTTGCCAATTGAGAATAAAAGATATGATTATACTGAAAATCATGATTAGAATAAGTGAAATTGTTTCTAAGAATTCAAAACCTATCCCGTTTTTGATCTTTTCAATATTACTGTAAAGAAAATCGATCATGGATAATTGTTTGTAATAAAGTTATTATATTTACTTACATAAAAAGCTTCGTATTGTATTGAGTAGTTTGATTTGTATCCAAGTAAGTCATGTTCTAAAAAATGAAAGAGAAATAACACATTATTTTATCTTAGATCGTAATGTAATTGTTATATTAACCATGTTTTTAGAATTATTAGTCTGTTGATTAGAGAAATATTTTTGAAAAAAAAATTAGAAATCGAGGCCAAAATGATCTATTTAGTTTTGTTTTATGCTTGGCATGGAGCAAGAGAAATAAATATAATAAACTGTATTCTAACTGGTTTAATCGGTTGTACTCATTTCTTTTAGTTACTCTTCAATAAATTAGATCTGTACTACATTTAAGTCATCTAGTAAAAATTCGATATTATTCAATTTTGACTTATGATCACTAATGGTAAAGTATATTATGTGTGTAAAAAATATTTTTACTTACACGTTGAAGAAGTGATTGAAACAGTAAAACACTCATACGAGATGTCTGCCGTTCCGTAGCAACTGTCCAACAGATATATTCAAGAACAGCACTTAGAAATGTAAAAAGACTGAAACCTATATTGATATAGAGAAATAACAAATCGTTTGTTTTTTTTAATTAAAATCATCCTATTCAATAGACTTACCAAAGAACCAATAAACAAGATGCATAACATTGTCATGAAATAAAGGTGTTAATGGAGATAATGTGGATGAAATAATTTTATTATCATAATGGCATAGTCTACGAATGAAAAATTTGAAATGATTCAAAATAAGAATATTTAAAAATACTATTTTTCAGTAAATTACTTATTTAATCGATCATAATTTAATGGATTAAGATCAATACCAAGAGGACATATAGTATTATTGATAATTGTAGATGCTAAATTTTGATATTGATTATTGCAATCAACAGCAAATGATGTAGTAGCAAATAATCCCGTGATCCGACCAAAAAGAATTACATTCGCGAGAGTACCAACTACATGCGCCAACATGAAACACAGACCAAGAATTAAAAGAAGAATATCAATACGATCAGCAAATCGAAACTATCATTAAATGAAATGAATTAATTCATCTATATACATATATTAAAAAGAAAAATAATATGCTTTCAACTTAATATTTTTATTAATTTCTCTTATATTTTATTTTTGAATATAATACTTACCAATTGTAAAACACCGACTGGAATATCTTTAGTAGTTTGGTTGATCTCATCGTTTAACTTTTTATTCTTAGCATCAGTCTTTTGCTGATTGAAATATCGACGCCACTCCGAAAAACTATAAATAATAATGAGTTCTTATGTGTTTATCGATATTATATTTTTTTTTAATCGTACCTTTTGTTTTCATTGTCACTATCATTGTCATCAAGTAATTTGTTATGTTTTTTTAATAATGGCTCTTTATCACTCATATTCTTCTTTTTTTTTCAAACGCAAATTATTATGAAGCATGAAGCTTATTATGGGTCTATATGTATTAGTATAAAGAATGATTGAATATTCTTTGCTTCACTGATTTTGCGTCCTGTACTTATTTTATCTGTTTTCTTTTATATTATCAAAAAACGTGGGCAACACTATGTAAAAGGCAAAAATTTTAGATATTTTTTCATAGATGTAAATTTAATTAATATTTTCTTCTTACCTGTCGCGTAGGAGCAATATAGTATCATTAAAGATTCAGGGACAGTAAATTTAATGATTGGTATAGACAAAAATAAAAGGAAAAATAAATTGTCGTATACTTTTAATTTCTGAACAACCATGAAGCTTTAAGTTAGAATTTTATTAACCGTAAAAAAAATGATAAAATAAATTAAAGAGGTATGAGAAGTCAAAATCATCAATCCAGTTCTACAATAAAATTTATGTATATTTATAATAGATACAATTTTATTTTAAAATTATCATTCAATTTCAAATAGTTACATAATACTAATGATATTTTCTATAAGATTATATATAATATTTATTAATAATATGATTGTACTTATTTACAAATCAATATTATACATAAATAATTGTTTTAGCCTTCATTATAATATCGAGTTAGAAACATATTTATTCAACAAAAACTAAAATTCATATTATCATTCATGTTAAAGGAATGTAATTATAGATTGGTTATAACTCATGAATCTTTAAAATAACGAATTTTTTAAACATATTACAAAAAAAGACTTCATAGTGTCGGAATAAAGCATTCTCTATTATGATTTATGAGAATTTATTTTTACGTAAATATAAATTTAGAATTGCTTGTGCGTAGTATAAATATTATCTGATATTATTTTTGTTCAACTTATATTGTTTAAAAAAACAAATAGGTTTTATATTGTACAAAACCTTTTTTTTTT